CCTTATGCAGACTTTATTGTCTTATAACCTTGGCCATATTATTCTGTTGAGGCGTTGGGTGGTGTGATTGATTTTAGTATACAAAACAGGTTAGTCTTTCTTTGACTTTCTGTGTTGGTGGTAGTTGTGTTTTAGTTGCTCCCCCCTGCCCCCGAAGCTGCTAAGACCCTTTCTGAAACAGGATAGGCTAATTTATGTCTTAGGCACAACTCAGAAGTCACGGCAGCTTAAAGAGACAGAGGTTTCTTTCTCCCTGAGCATCATGTCTGGTACAGGCTGGGGAGAGATGCCCCTGGTACCTGCGGTCATGTGGAAACCTAGATTGCTGGAAGCTCCATGTTAGTGTGCTTCCACAGTCGTTAAGGCAGGAAAATGCAGTGTGGTGAGTTGTGTTCGTTAGCTCCCAGAGTTTTCTACCCAGAAGTGGTACACATCACTCTAGCTTGTATTTCATTTCTAATTTCAGAGTGGCAGGGAGGGCAGTCCTATTATTTATCCAGAAAGTGGAATGCCAGAAATATTTAATGTCCAGTGCTGATGATTTCCACAGTCCCTAATGGCATTAGTTCCTGTCTGACTGGATGAAATTAATGTGTATGTTGGGATACGTTTCAGTATGCAACTTCATCAGACTACATTTGAGTGAGGGAACAGTAACTTTCATGTCATTACCCTTTCCCATTTGTTCTTCAATTAAAGTATTTAAACGATACTTTAATTTACCTTACTATTTAATGTTCACGGGGTTTTTTGTTTTTGTTTGTGTTTTCGTTTTTTTTTTTGGTCTGGGTCAGTTTGTGTAGTTTTTTAATTCCAGTGTAGTTAACATACAGTGTTATATTAGTTTCAGGTATACAATATAATGATTCAACGGTTCCTATATTAGTGCTCATCATGATAAGTGTACTGTTAATCCCCTTCACCTAACACCCATCCTCCCACCTACCTCCCCTCTGGTAGCCACCTGTTTGTTCTCTGTAGTTAAGAGGCTGTCTTTGGTTTGTCTCTCTCTTTTTTTCTTTATTCGTTTTGTTTCTTAAATTCCACATGTGAGTTAAATCATATGGTATGTGTTTTTCTCTGACTTTTTTCACTTAGCTATAATCTCTCTGGATCCATTCATATGTTGCAAATGGCAAGATTTCATTCTTTTTTATGGCTGAATAACAATCATTGTATGTGTATATAACATGTCTCTCTCTTTTTTTTTTTTAATGTTTATTTTTGAGGGGGAGAGAGAGAGAGAGGGAGGGAGGGAGGGAGGGAATCCCAAGCAGGCTCCGCTGTCATTGCATAGCCCCACGCAGGGCCCGAACCCACAAACCATGAGATTATGACCTGAGCCAAAATTAAGAGTCAGTTGCCCGACAGACTGAGCCACTCAGGCGCCCCTACAGCACATCTTTATCCATTTATCAATGGTAATGTCCATGAGTTTTTGACAAATGCAGACAGTCATGTAGCTAGCACATTCAAGGTATGGAATAGTTCAGCCACTTCTCAAAATACCCCTGTTCCCTTTTTTGGGCAGAGACCCTGACAACCACTGATGTGTTTCTGACTCTAGTTTTACCTTTTCTAGAATGTCATAAATGGAATAATATAGTATGGAGCTTTTTTCAGTCTGGCTTCTTTTGCTTAACATACAATTTGAGATTTATTTACATTGTTGTATATATCATTATTTCATTCCTTTTTATTGCTTAACAGTATTCTGTTGTAGAAAAGAATATCAGATGTACCACAGTTTATCTGTTCTCCAATTGTGGAATGCTTGGATTGGTTGTTTCCAGTTAGGGGAAATGATGAATGAAGCCATTGTTCAAATTCATGTGGGTCTTTATGCAAACATAAATTTTCATTTTATTAAGTACCTAGGAATGGGATTGCTGGGTCGTATGGTAAAAATGTTTTATTTTTTTTCCTTTTTGTCATTTTAATCGGTATGTAGTGGTATCTTACTGTGATTTAAATTTTTTTGTAGTAAAATATGCATAACAAAATTTACCATTCTAATCATTTTTAAGTGTACAGTTCACTGGAATTAAATATAGTCACATTTAATTGTTGTGCAGCCGTCAGTCACCATCTTACTGTGATTTTAACTGCATTTTCCTAATGACTTCATTCTTATGTATCCTTCCAGAAAAAATGTTTAGCTCTGTATGCCTATGCCTTGTTTCAGATTTTTTTACTGGAACACGGATTGACAGGGAAGAAGCTTCCATTCCTTCCTAGTCCACACACAGACTGGATAAGGAAATTTAATTGAGGATATAGAGTGAGAGCAGGTGCGGCCTTTCTGTTGGCAGCTTTTCCCAGCTTCCAGTTCCCTAATAAGGTGTGGCTATGCCCATGACACAGTCTAATCAGGGATTGGGGACTGCTAAACTGCCAAATGTTGGCCTTACAAGTATTTTATAGCTAGGGCTTATCACCATTCTAGTTTATACCAACAATCTTCACCTTTCCATTTAGGGTAATATTTATACATGAGGTGCTTTTGAACGAAACTTAGTCACATCTTCATGATGTGGGAAAACAAAGGGTCAGTACTGCAGAAGAGATTTGTAATATTTTTTGGACCAAGTTCCATATTAAAGTCATTTAGAATAAATGGTTTTTAAATTAGAATTGGGTTGTTGGTGCACAGAAACAGGCTTTTAGGAATGTTGAGACATATTTTTTAAATGTTATTCTGCTTTCTTCCCCTGATGAAGATATAGCCAGTGAAAGTTTTATCACATTTTATTTTACATTTTTTTAAGTTTTTATTTTGAGAGAAAGTGAACTGGGAAGGGGCAGAGAGGGAAAGAGAGAATCTCAAGCAGGCTGCACACTGTCAACGCAGAGCTACAGCTCCTTTTCAGAAGCCCCACCCAATCTGGCCAATACACGGTCCTCCCTATAGCTTCCTCTTGCCACATGGGGGCTGCGCCGTCCTTGTGGGGCTGGTCCCCATTGCAGGATGAGCCCAGTGGCATCAACTGTTGGCACACACATGAGTATCCCTTCCCCGTTGTCACTGCATCCTGTTGGCAGCAGTGTGCCCACAAAGGCACTCCTTACTCAGTCACCTTGTTTCTGGAGGGTGACATAACTACCCTTATTTGTGTGGGTGCAGCAGTATTGCTGCTGCTTTCCTTTACACTGTGTCCTGATGGCATTACACTCCGTGCCACACTTTTGCTGCCATGCCCTACTTCTGCAACTGCCTGAGAGCTGCCTGCAGAGACAGGGTGAGGTGGGACTGCTTTGCCTCGGGTCTGCGTTGGCTCACCCACATTTGCACCCAAACCACCCTACCTGATTAATCCCTCAGTAGCACATGCCTATCTCTAAAGTCAATCCACGGGCATCCTAGCACTTGTGGCCTGGTGTGGTCATGTTCCATATGGCTTTGAGTGCTTATTCTGCTCATACCTGGATAATTCTGATAATCGTGGAACTAATCGATGCCCATAGGCACCAGCATCTCTGGTGATTCTAGATGACCCAGATTGGTCGCCTGTCTCTTGGACCTGTCAACTACTTTAGGTAGAAGTCCCAGTGCCTTTAGTGGCGACCATCACAACCAGGAGTCCAGACTTGGTAGCATAAATGTAGCTTGATGGTCAAATACCCCAACCAAGAAAGACCACAGATGCACAGATGACCTGCTTGCGACCAGGGAGAGCAGTGATGAAAAACAACACTGGTCTCTTTTGAGGTCCTATAGTTGGAATGAGTCCATCTTAAATCCTTTGAGGAGGATCCGTCGCAGGGCAAGTCTGGTGCTGATCCCAGCTTCAGTGCAGATACCGAATTCGGTGTACTTAAAATGTTCGTGTGATATTGGATCTCCTGCTTCCCTGTGGGTCTACTGCAGGGTCCTTGCAGGTCCCCACCCCCTGCCTCTAGTGAGCTCCTGGCTCTTAGCCTAGTTTCCCTAGGCTGAAGTGTGTGTTTGGAGAAAATTAGAGTACTCAAAGCAGACTTGAGCTGCCAGGATACGGCCCCGGGAATCATGGAATTCTAGTGTGGTTCTATTTTGTTTGTGTCAGAACTTTGCAGAGGCTGATTGGGCAGAATTGTTGGGACATTCATATTGTTGCAAGAGCCCAAAGTCTTAGAATGGTGCAAGATGGACCAGAGTGAAAACTTTTGCCAAAGATGTTTTCGTTAATCAAGGAGGAAGGTGAAAGTGGGAGGTTTGAAGAGGCTTTGGATCCCAGTACCCAGTGCAGTTCTGGCTGTAAACAGATGCACATCGCCAGCATTGTTCTCATGACCCCACAGGCTGCTTCCAGGAAACCAAAGTCCTTTGAGCGGTGGTAGCTGGAGGGTGTGGTTCCGAAGCTGAAGCTGGAAGGCACAACCCTGGAGTGTGTGCCTGATTTGACTCAACCTGGACAACCCCTCCCAGCTCCTGTGCAGACAGAATCGGCACGGCAAAAGCTCCTCCACGGGTGGTGGTATATGCCCTTTCTGTGTTGGCAGTGGTTTGTCTGGCTTATTGATAACCAGGGGTATATTAGCGTGCTGAACAGTTAGCCAGCCTGAGTCCTCAGAATCCCTCGTGTTTGGTAAGTGGCATTCAGCCACTCGAGATTGAGCAACACGGTGCTTTTTAATGTTGGGGACCAACTACCACGCTGCTTAGCTCATGTGCAGCCTAGTCCCACGGGTGCTAGGGACTGGTTAAATGCATTAATAACGGGCTTGGATTGCAGTTACTCCCCATTCACGAGAAATTCCCTGTGAGAAAGTAGGTCGCAAGTTTGCCTAAGTCTCTGCCCCTAGTACACACTGCCTGTCGCCTTTCAGATCGACCACTTGGGGTGGGCACTTGGCCCTGAAGATCTCAGAGAAGATGGTCTAAATAAAAGTTGCGGCCAAATTTCCATAGGTGGTCTTGCAGAGGGAGCGTTATGGAGCCGGGAGGATTGCTCGCGTGAGGCGCTTCCTCTGCACCCCAGGGGCCACCCCAGGCAAGAAGACGGATAGATGTGCTCAGAGCCATGTGGGGCCGGGTGAAGGTCTGCCGACCAGGTAGTCCAGGGCTCTGGCAGCTTTTGCTTAAGGTGACCTCTAGCTTGCCTCTCTCTGGCCTGGCACCTTTGTGGTTTTGGGGTGCCCCCTCACCCTGTGTGTGCGTGTCCTTAGACCTCTGGTGGTGTGACGTGAAGCTAAAGGGGTGTCTCCTATGCTGCCCGCTGTTGTTACTGTGTCAAGTCCTTGGATATGTTTTTTGTGGAGTTTAAACTGTTAGGACCGGACTTAGGACTTTAAACTGTTGGGATTGGAGTTTAAAACTCTTAGGACACCAGTGGTGACCTGATTTTGCATATTTCTATTTAATGTTTGTTAGTTACAGAAGAGTGCAGTTTTAGGAGAATAGTTCTTATCAAAAGGGCAATTCACCTTTTTATGTATTAGGGAATTTTTTAGCTTTGAATATACTTATTATCACAGTCACACTTTTACATCTCTGCTGCTGACAGATTCTTGCTTTAACACAGTATTTTTGCTTTGAGGTTGTGTTTTTTTTTTTTTTTCCTAAGTTTATTTTTGAGAGAGAGGGAGACAGAGCGTGAGTGGGGGAGGGGCAGAGAGCGAGAGGGAGACAGACTCTGAAGCAGGCTCCAGGCTCTGAGCTGTTAGCCCAGAGCCCAACGCGGGGCTCGAACCCATGAACCGTAAGATCGTGACCTGAGCTGAAGTTGGATGCCAGGTGTTCTGTTGTTTTTTTTTTTTTAAGTTATAACGAAAGATAATTCAATTTATCTTTTTCGTTCACAGACATATGTAGAGTGTGTCGGTCAGAAGGAACACCTGAGAAACCTCTTTATCATCCTTGTGTATGTACCGGCAGTATTAAGTTCATCCATCAAGAATGGTGAGTCATCCTTACAGAAAATTTTATGTCTCAGCTTCAGTGTTGTCATGTATGTAATAAAGGGGATTATTTCAGTGAACTTTCTCTATAATTATTTTTTAAAAATTTTATTCTGAAAATTTGGAAATTACCTATATTCATAATTACCATACCCTGTCATTTGGGTATTGTTTTCCAGGTGCATGTGAGTACCTGTTTATTTCTGCCACAGAGAGCTTATTTTGTTCATTGGCAGTATGGAGGTTTTCGGATTCTACTTGTTGTGATAATAGCTTACATTTATGCAGTGCTTTGTGCCCGGTGGTACTCAGTGCTTGTACACAATTCATTTAATTCTTAGAACCATGAGGTGGGATATTTTTATTATTATGCGGATGAGGAAACGAGCATGGAAAGGTTAAGTACCTTTTTCTAGGTCACTCAGCAACCACTTAGTGACAACCAGGGTTCAGACCTAGCTGCCTAGGGTAACAATATTATCAGACCAGCGTTAGAACTGATGTTGATGCTTGGAGATTCTTTTGTATTCAAGGCTAGCTTTGAGGAGATTACAATTTAGTTAATTGAACTTTTTTAGTAATAGAAATATATATTTTTATTTGTTACAGTTTTGGACTGTCAGCATGAAGTTATAAAAAGCTAAAAAATGTTATAAATATGAACCTGTCAGAATTGTAAAAGCTCTATGATACATAAAATTTTAATAAAATAGAATATTGGCTTTCAGGGAAATCTTAAAGTTTCTTTGCTGTAAGTACTATGCTTATTAATGTATTTTTGATTGCAGCTTAGTTCAGTGGCTGAAACACAGTCGAAAAGAATACTGTGAATTATGCAAGCACAGATTTGCTTTCACACCAAGTAAGTTCTTTAGAAGTTTGCATTGCGTTTTGGGGTTATAACTGGTAACATAAAGATATTTAATAAAAGTATAAAATTTTGGGAAAATATTAAAAAAATGTTTTTTTAAATGTTTGTTTATTTTTGAGAGAGCGTGAGCGGGGGAGAGGCAAAGAGAGAGGGAGAACAGAATCCAAAGCAGGCTTCAGGCTCTGAGCTGTCAGCACAGAGCCCTGTGCCGGGCTCAGACTCACTAGCCATGAGATCATGACTTGAGCCGAAGTCGGACGCTTAACTGGCTGAGCCACCCAGGCGCCCCAGGAAAATCTTTTTTAAAACTACATGTCAGCTTTCAACACACAAATGCATGTGTATGTGAGAAAGAGTGATTTAATTTGTGAGATGTTCCTTTCTTCTTTATTTTTTAACTTTTTATTATGGACAAATTCAAACATTAAAAAAAGGTATAATAAGCCCCCTGTTCATATCTCTTAGTTTGACTCATTTTCAAATCATGGCCTTTACGTGGTATTTCTTACCTGTGTTCTTGTTCCCCACCTCCCTATCCTTTTTAAAGCAAATCTCATTTATTTTCATTGGTACATATTTTAGTATGTGTCTCTGAACAATAAGGATTCCTTTTAAAAACAATAACTTTAGGGGCATCTGGGCAATTCAGTTGGTTGGGTGTTCAGCTCTTAATTTTAGCTAGGGTCGTGGTCTCGCAGTTTGTGAGATCAAGCCTCGCATTGGGCTCTGTGCAGACAGCACAGAGCCTGAAGCCTGCTTGGGATTCTCTGTTTCTCTGCTCACCTCTCTCTCTCACTTTCTCTCACTCTCTCTCTCACTCTCTCTCTCACTCTCTCTCTCACTCTCACTCTCTCACTCTCTCACTCACTCTCTCACTCTCTCACTCACTCAAAAATAAACATTTAGAAAAAATAAAGAGATCTTTCTAAAACATGGCCAGACCTTCCCCTGAGTGTGTTGAACCAGATTTTACAGAGAGATGGGGAGATCTGAATTTACTGTTTGGAATATTAGTTATTGTGCTGAAATTGGGGAGATGCAATTGGCTAACAGACATCAGCGGGGTGTTTGCTTCCACATGAAATGACTTTACTGTGGATTGTACTTTTTAGGTGCTATGTTTCAGGCTTGTATTTGGGAGGAGGGTTCTTTCTTCCTTTTTTTTAAATTGGAGTATAGTTGAGACACGGTGTTAGATTAGTTCTGATGTACAGCATAGTGATTCCAGAACTCTGTTATGTTGTGCTCACCGCAAGTGTAGCTACCCAACTTTCACCATACAGTGCTATTATTGTACCATTGACTCTATTCCCTCTGCTATACTTTTCATCCCCGTGACTTATTACGTAACTGGAAGCCCATACCTCCCACTGTCCTTCACCCATTTTGCCCCCCCTCCCCCTTCCCCTTTGGCAACCACCAGTTTGTTCTCTGTACTTATGGGTCTGTTACTGCTTTTTTGTTCATTTATTTGTTTTGTTTTTTAGATTGCATATATGAGTAAAATCATATGGCATTTGTATTTTACTTACTGACTTATTGCACTTAGTATAATACCTTCTAAGTCCATCTTTGTTGTCACAAATGGCAGGATCTTATTATTTTTCATGGCTGAGCAATATTCCTGTGTGTGTGTGTGTGTGTGTGTGTGTGTGTGTGTGTGTGTGTGTAGTATTTTTTCTTTATCCTTTCATCTACCAGCGGACACTTGGTGGGTTGCTTCCATATCTTGGCTATTGTAAGTAATACTGCAATAAATATAAGGGTGCGTATATCTTTTCGAGTTAGTGTTTTTGTTTTCCTTGGGTGAATACCCAGTAGTGGAATTACTGGATTGTATGATGCTATATGTTTTTAATTTTTTGAGGAATCTCCATACTATTTTCCACAGTGGCTGTGCCAATTTACATTCTCACACCCATAGTGCACGAGGGTTCCTTTTTCTCCACATCCTCGCCAACGCGTATTATTCCTTGTCTTTTTCATAATAGCCCTTTGACAGATATAAGGTGGTATCTTAATTGCGGTTTTGACTTAGGAGGGTTTTCTTTAACATGCCAACAGCTTCACCTTTTGCTCCTGTTTGCTTTATCTGATCTTTAATTTGGGAAAACATATTGTTTGAATGCTAAAATATGTATAAATTAGCTATGCATGAAGTTCATGGTAGTGACTGAGGGAATATGAACTTCTCTTGAATCTTTTCTCCTGCACATAAGGCTTTTTTGTTGGCTTCTGCATTTAACACGTGATTTGCTCTCCAATGAGTTCTGGGTAAATGTGGTATCATTGTGACTGTTTGATTCCCTTTTTTAATAGGAAAAAATAAGTGCAATACAAAGATTGAAAGTTAAGCTAGCACTACATGCCTATTTTATATTTATGAATTAAGCTATTTTTAAATCTTCATGAAATTATGTACTTTTTCTTCCTTTCTAGTTTATTCTCCAGATATGCCTTCACGGCTTCCAATCCAAGACATATTTGCCGGACTGGTTACAAGTATTGGCACTGCAATACGATACTGGTTTCATTATACACTTGTGGCCTTTGCATGGTTGGGAGTTGTTCCTCTTACAGCATGTGAGTATTCACTTCTCTGTGGTTGGAGTAATTTAAAATTTACATAACTATTTAATATTACAAAGTTATATTATATCATATTTGTGTTCAAATGGTATTTAATTATTTGATATTATAATTTCATGTATTTGGAAAGCCTCACTTAGAAAACATCCACCTAAATTAAGAACTGTTATCAACAGATCATTTTATCAAATGAATGTGGGAAAGACAAACACAGCATACAGAGGCTAATAATGAAGGTTCATGAAAGAGTTGAAAAAGCAAATTATAATTGGAAGGACCATGATTTTTATTCTCTGAAGTATATTAGAAATTTCAAAGATTGCAGAAGATGGACTATTTTGAGGTTTTCTCCCTCTTTTAAAAGACAACACGTGTATCTATTATTATAGTCCTGAATAATTGGGACGCTTATCTTTCAAGATATAGGAGGTTTTCTATAGGTTGGTATACTAACCCTTAATTGATCCCTTTTGTGTTTTTACTTTTTTGTGTGTTTATTATTTAAATGTTTATTCATTTTTGAGAGAGCGTGTGTGTGTTCATGCACAAGCAGGGAAGGGGCGGGGTGGGGGGGGGAACAGAGGGTCCGAAGTGGGCTCCATGCTGACAGCAGCGAGCCCGATGCAGGTCTCAAGCACGTGAACTACAAAAATCACAACCCAAGCCAAAGTCTGACATTTAACCGACTGAGCCACCCAGGTGCCCCTGTTTTTTGTTTTTAAAGACATGCAGAAGGTTAGATAGCATATGGTTCCAGAGTGTGCAGATACGATTCTTTGGAATTAGATGCAAATGAGATTTTTAAATAAGCATAATTCATATCGTCGTTTCTCTTTAGAATAAAATACACTTGATCGTTCATGAAGATGAAAGTCTTTGGGGGATACATCAAATAGCAGAATAAGTATTGTTGAAGAGTGAGGTGGTGAACTAGGAGATTGAGCAAGGAGTTCTCTAGGATGGAACTCAGAGACAAGAAGTTGCAAGTATGAGGGGAAAAATCAGGAGGTAAAGGCTGTATCCAGTTGTTTCACGATCTGTCTAGTAAGTACTTTGAAAAGGTGAAAGAGATACTGGACATGAGGAAATGACCAGCCTCTTTTCGATTGAAAGACAGCTGACCATGATAAAGGACAGAGACTCATAAACCTAGACATTCTGGTCTTCCAGGGCTGAACAGGATGGTAGATAATCCATTTTCAGATTGTCCTACAAAGTAATGAAAATCAGACTGGCATTAGACTTAAAATCAGCAGCTTTGAATGCCAGAAGACAGCAGAGACTTCAGATTTTGACAGAATTTTTGAACCGGAAATCTACCCATAAATTATTCTCAGATGAAGAGACAAAATGCAGACATTTCAGTCAGTGCAAAGGCACGAAAAGCTTGCCACCTCAAACTATTTATGAAAAAAGCATTTGAGGACATACTTCACCAAAATGAGTAAGAAATCAGAAAGGCGTGAGCTACAAAGAAAAAGAAACAAGTGCTTCTCACAGCTAACCAGCAATTTTAATCCATAGTGATTGGTAATTTTTATTTCTGAGGGGACTGTGGGTGCTCTAGATACAGATAGGAAAATATAGTGTGACTGCATATTAAAAATAATAGAGGTAAGCAAATAGAGCCCAGAACTAGACTCACATCTGCATCATCACCTGAATCACAACAGTGGTACCACTGCTGTTCAGTGGAAGAAAGCTGATCCTTTCAGTATATGGTACAGCATCACCTGGCTGGCCAGATGAAAAATGAACCGTGTCATTATCTTACACCTGACACAAAAATTAATTTGAGTTGGATCATAATCTTGAATGTGCATGTTACAACCAAAAGACTTCTAAAAAAAAAAAACATGGGAGAATAACCATAAAAGAAAATACTGAATAAATTGGATTTCAGTGAAATTGAGAACTTTTATTCATGCTTAGATACCTTTGAGAAAGGCAAGCCACAGAGAGAAGATATTTGCAATACATACTTCAAACAAAGGACTTGTATCTACAGTATGTAGGGAACTCCTATAAAAGTCAGTAAGAAAAAGGCAGACAACCCAAATAAAAAGTAGACAAAAGATTTGAACAGGTGTTTCTGGAAAGAAGATGATCTAAATAGCCAGTGAACACACAAAAAGCTGCTCAGCATCATTAGTCATCAGGGAAATGCACAAGAAGATACTACTACATACTCCGCAAAATGGCTGAAACTAAAATAGAAGACAATGCCAAATGTTTCTTAGGGTGTGGAGCATCTGGAACATGCCTTTGTTGGTGGAGGGAACATATATGGTGTAACTACTTCAGAAAACTGTGTGGCAATATCTGACAGATGCTAAATATTACAAATACTTATGATCCAACCTGAAGTTCCATTTCTGGGAATATAGCTGACAGAAACTACAGCCTGTGTCCTCTAAAAGACGTGTGTAAGAATGATCACAGCAGCTTTGCTAATAGGAGTTCACTGGAACCACCAAATACCTATCAACAGTAGAGTGCGTACATTGTGGTTTATCTATACAATGGAATACTACTTAGCAGTGAAAAAATAGGTGATTATTGTGATATGGAATAACGTGGATGAATTTTACTCTGAGAGAAAGAAACGAGGCACAAAAGAGTATGGATTGCATTTATGTGAAATTTCAAAGTAGGCCAAATTGGGGGTGCCTGGATGGCTCAGTTGGTTGAGCAGCTGACTTGGCTCAGGTCATGATCTCACAGTTGGTGAGTTCAAGCCCCGTGTTGGGCTCTGTACTGACAGCTTGGAGCCTGAAGCCGGCTTCAGATTCTGTGTCTCCCTTTCTCTCTGCCCCTCTCCCACTTGCGCTCTGTCTCTCTCTCTCTTGAAAATAAATAAGCATTAAAAAAAAAAATTTAAAGTAGGCCAAATTGATCTATGGTGATAGAGATCAGACTAGCAGCTACCTTTTGCTGGAGATTCCAACTAGGAAGGGGATTGAGGAACCTTCCACGGAGCTAGAAATGCTGAATATCTTGATCTGGGTGGTAGTTTCTTGGATATATGTACATATATAAAAATTCCCCCAGACACATACTTAAGAGTCACGTAAATTTTACCCTAATAAGAAGTAACAAAATGAAACTTAAAACTGAGTGCCAGAAGAGTAGAAGTGGGATTGAGTTTTTATCCTGGGGAGTGGGAGTAGGAAACAGCAAATACTTGGAAAATCTAACAAAAGACAGGAAAGACAGGGAGAGAGGGTAGAGGGAGGGAAGTAAGAGAGGAAGGGGTAAGGTTGCAACTTCTGTGATCCTAAGACTTGAGATTTATCTATTGCAAGATAGGGGCTTACGGTTCTGTACAGAGAAAAGTGATTCACTGTAAGAGATAAGTACAGAGCAGCCCAGGTTAATGCTAGAGGGATGTCAGCAAATGCTGACAAAACAAAGGAACAGCATTAATCAGCCAGATGTCATTCAAGATGAAACACTTTAATGGGTAAAAAGCATTTATTTTGTATGAGTAAAATGCACAGGCTACCAAGCAAATAAAATTGAAGAACTTTTATGCACCAGAGAACAGGACTTCGAAGTATGTAAAGTGTTCATAGTCAAGTGGAAGACTAACCTCTCTAAAAGCAGTAGATCAAATAATAAATTAAGTAGGGACTTAAAGAATTTACATAATACAGTCAACAAGCTGAATCTCTGTTCTCACTTGTTACACACGCACACATTCGTACTCAGAATTTAAGTTCTGCCACAAATACATGGTCTGTAATTTTTTTTTTTTTTTTTTAGTCTAACTTTTTTAAGTTAGCAGTGTACCCTGGGACCTTTCCATGTGAGAACTTGTTGAGCTACCTTAGTTTTTAATGGATGTAAAGCACTCTGCACTGAGGACACCTGTAATTTATGAATCCATTTTCTTATCTACAGACATTTGGTCTGTTGTCAGTTTTACTTTGTTACAACCATACTTGCTTGGAATATTTTATAAATGTATGTAAGTCATTGCTATTACAGAAATCTTTTCCTACCTTTTCATTTCGATTTGGCTTTTGAAAACAGCCGTTGAGGTCACTGAAAATTTTTGATACAAGGCCATAGGGAGTGCTTAAACTAATATACAAGTTCTGGTTAGAAGGAAAAGCTCAGCTGTTTCCTCATGGGCCCCATTTCTGTTCTTGACTTTTCTGAGTAAGAGGATGAGGGGGTGGCGGTGCATTCACCCACACTTGATCTTTTTTTCCCTTGATGGCCAGACCCTTAGTCTGTGTTGTTTCAAAATTGGTTGTTAGTTTGCTATTCATGTTATTAGAGCCTTTACTCTTCTGGAAAGTCCTCTTAATTTCAAATTGTATACCTTTGGAACTGAAACCTTTTATTTTTGTGAGCAGACTCCATGAATTTTAGAATTCTCGGCTCAAAAAAATTCTCCGTGTTGTAATTTGGAGGTCTTTAATGTAGAATTTTTTTCCTTTTCAAACATCTAAGCTCATTCAATAGAAACAAGTCAGTCTATAGAGAATCTAAGCTCTCAACATTAGTGTGTGATGTTGACTCACTATTTTTATGCTTAGTTCACCGTGTTGGGTTTTTTTGATGTAGTATTGTATCGTATTGCCTAGTATAGTGTTTAATGTAGTAAGACAGCCTTGCAAAGACTAAATATTTCAGTGGCTTTCACTTTACCGCTGTTTAATCGAGGCCCTGAGTTCATGGTGAGCGTTATAACCACATGCTGTCTTGCTCTTTTTGCTAGGCCGTATCTACAAGTGCTTGTTTACTGGCTCCGTGAGCTCACTACTGACACTGCCACTGGACATGCTGTCCACGTGAGTACTGAACCTTGTGAAGCTGGAAGGCTGCACAGCACAGAGAGTGCTCATTTTTCCTGCACACATTTATGTTTCTTACAATTTGAAAATTCCTTTTGTTCTGAGGACAAAAAGTAACTTATGTGTCTTAGTCTGACAGTTATAGGTACAGAAGAAGTGGCTGACAACATGTACATGTTTGTTTAAAAACAGATATGTTTTAAAGGACTGTTTTGTAACCGGGGGGCGGGGGGGCACCTCTTAAATAGGCTCATGTAATGTGAGATCTATGCTGCTGTGTTCCTATGCTGAGAGTTCATTTAAACATGTGTTTTTAATGACATAGGCATTTGAATACAAATTTATTTTTTAAATGTTTCTTGTGATTATTAGAATATGGACTCTAAAAAAACTTGTTCGTGGTCATTGTTTTACTGTATCTTAATTTGACATCAAGCATCGTAATGGCGTTTTTGGGGGGAAAGACGTGTTTTATTACTGATGTCAGAATTAGAAATGCTGTAAATGATTAACTGTATCAGGATCACTAGAATATTCAGCCTACCAAAATTGCACCTATATTTGCCAAATCTTTTGTACCCAGTTGACCTTAGGTTCCTGATCCTTATGTCAGTGAGAACAAAGAACAGTATCAAACCCTTCTGTGAACAAAAGTATTCAGAGTATATTACCATAAAAATAAGTCACTCGGCAAAAGGAGAGAGCAAGCTGTATTTCCAATAGAAAAGAAATTAGGAATTCTTTGAAGTCTGTTGCATCTGCATCATTACTTCTCATCATGTTTCTAAATATTTAGAAACATTGGTTGTGTCTGTGACTTGGTTTTTCTACTTGCTGGTTATACCTTTTTGGGTAGAACAGGCAAGGTACTTCATTTATGTCTGTTTCTTTGGCAGTATAGGGAATAATAGGTTTTCATTGAAGGTTTTCAGCTTGAGCCTTATTTACATTAGAATTGTTTTTTGTTTTCATTTTTGAAGAACAGCTGTGATAAAGTAATTTTTAGAAGTAGACAAAGGCCTCAAAATAGGGCACTGATGGCTATGGCCATGACAAAACAGGGAAGCAGTAATTTAACACACTTGAAAATCTGGAATTAGTGTAAGGAGATAACCCTTTGTGTAAAAATACAGGCCTTTTGTGAAATGATGCAGTAGAAACCAACAAGATAGTGATCCCTTTTCTGGACATCAAATTTTTTTTATCTCAGCCATCCAGAGCATGGTCTTAGTATAGAAGTTTAAAAAGTCTGTCTTAAATGGCTCAGCTGTCATTTGTGTGTATGACATAGTTCACCTCTGACTTGCGGTTAGGAATTGTGTACAAAGCAAAGATACATATTAGAAGTAGTGAGGGAGGTCAGAAAAAGCAAGGGGTGACTGCTAAGTGGGATGGAAGTCTTATTTTAATAGGTATAAACTAATGAAAGAACCATTTCACGTAGGGAAGGCTTATTCCATTTAGTTTGGACTAAAATTCCGTAAACCATTATAGTTTATGAGTGTGTGTAGTAGAGGCCAGTCAGTATCTCAGTTGTTTAGAAAAGTTGGCTTGAGTTCCTATCTGGACAGTTTAATGAAGTAGAGATACATTATTTTTCTCATGGTTTCTGTTTTAATGGCTAAGTTAACATTTACCAAAGCCTGAATTGGGAGGCTTCGGCTGTGTGAAAAACAGGTGTTTATGGAAGCCATGTCAGTGAAAATGCCGGACAAAGTGTAGTACTTTACTAGCTACCTTCACTTCTTATTGGTAGAACCATTGAACAGCTGGTTATTTGGCAGGTGTGATCACTCAGGTGATACAGAGAGGTAGTTGGTTGTAACAGAAGGAACCCTAGCATTGGAATACAGTGTCTGTAGCTGGAAGTTTTTTGGTGACCTTGGGCAAATCACTGGAAATTTCTGAATCCGTTTCCTCATCTGTAAAGTCAGGAAGACCATGCCTCAGGGATTTGGGTGGGCTATTCAAAGATTAAATTCACATATATCCGTAAAAACTCCATGTGAATTTGGAGTACTTGTGGTAGTGTTTTAGCAGAATTATCCCCAAATCTCAGAGCCGTTGCTTGCCTTACATTGGCAAGCTCCCCTTTTCTTTCTAACCTGATTGGTTGGTGAAACACCAGAATCGCCTTCGAGACACTGCTGATTGACGGGAAGAACACCGAAGGCATGGATCGGGGGGATAGTCAAAAGAAATTGTAAACCTGGTATGGTTTTATAATTCCATGCTGCCTTCTACAGTTTGAAGAATTGAGCCAGTTTTCCTGAAAGCAATTGTAGCTAAACTACTTTTTTTTTTTTTAGTGAGCATTATTTAATTTTCTCTATAGTATTAATTTTATTTCTGCAATTTTACTTTAAATTTCTTAATATTGTAGCTGCTGCTTATATATTCTGTAGCTAAGTTCTTCAGATCATCTCTAGGCACAACATACTAAAGCAGTTAATTACTGCTTTCAAACATACTGCCCCCAAAACTTACTGACTTAAAACAACAGTAATTTTGTTTGCTCATAATTCCGGGGGCCAGCAGTTTGAGCTGGGCTCAGCTGATCAGTTCATCTGTTGGGCTTGCCTCAGTTACTCATGTGTTGCCCTGGGTTTGGATGGTCTAGGATGGCTCTGGCTGGGGTGCCTTGGTTCTCTTCCACGTGGCCTCTCATCTCGCAGAAAGCCAGTGGGGCTTCTGTAGGTGGTGGACACAGGGCAGCATTCTAAAAGAGTGAAAGTGGAAGCTCACAAGCTGTCTTCTAGGCGCTAAACTCAGACAGCCTCTCCTTCATCCAGGCAGTTCACAGAACCAGCCCTGACTCTAGATAGGAGGGAAAAGAACCCTACAAAGGGTTTGTTACTGTTTAAAACTGACGTCAAACAGTTGTTATTCTTATTGCTGGTGACAAGTAGAGAGTAGAGAAGGGGGTGTTTTAGTCCCAAGCTATCAAAGTTTTAATAATCTGAAGGGTTCCTTAGCTCAGGAGTGGTTAGCATTCCTCTTTTGATTGGGATATATTCCAGATCATATCTGTGGGCCACATCAGTTCTTTAAGTTTGGAGCTTGTAGGCTGAGATTGCTCAAACGGGTCCTTCTTTAGACTTTCCATGGAGGAAAAAAGTCATTCCATTCTGATGGAAGATTTTCCTAAGGCCACCAAGATTTTTGAGTTATCCTTGAATTATTCTGAAATCAGACGTAGGCTGGGGAAGGACAAGCCCTTTCAGAGAGGGAGAGAACAAAGAGGTCTTTGGTGTCATGATAATGTATTTTCATGTACGACTGTAAAGGAACCGTAATGTCTTTCTGAATTGGTTAAGGGACTACCGGTATGTTTGCAGTTGCCATCAAAATTCGATCTGCTTTCTAAGTGACACTTGTCTAAAGTGCGTTACAGACTTTGTCTTATACACTGCATAGCGAGTATCTCAGCCTTTCTTGGGCATTGTCATTAGGCCTTTCTAGAGGTGCTTCTGTCCCTTTCTGTTTTACTGGTTATCTTCATGTGTGTGGGTCTCAGCCAACCAAGTTTGTTAAACTTGTGTGTAAAGTAAGGATAAGGAGAGTCTCCCTGAGGGTTGGACAGTCACTCACCTCTAGTAAATTACATGTACGTTCGGCTGCTTTTGGTTTTTTGCTTTTTGCCTGCCCCTGTTTCTAAGCCATGTTCATAGAGAGGCTAGGTAGCTAAGTTCTGTGTAGTTCTTATGTTATTCTTTGCTTATTAAAATAAAAACACACATAGTAGAAATGTAGAAATAAATATATTTGGCCAGCTTATAAGATAGTTAGAATTTCACCATTCTCAGAAGTAATTCTCAGAGGCTGATTTCACCCAGAAAATGATGACTTCTTTTTCTGGCCATTCTTCTGACATTTAAGTGTAAAATGAAATGTTGTTACCTTTGTTTTCTTAATTTTAAGTGTTCTTTGGAGTAATTCTCTATAATTTTTTTTTAATAGGGACAATTTATTGGCGGATTGTTTGCAGGGTTGTTTCGTGGTGACGTGCACGCTGTGTGCATTCATCAGCCTCGTGTGGTTGCGAGAGCAGATAGTCCACGGGGGGGCACCGATTTGGTTGGAGCATGCTGCCCCCCCCTTCAATGCTGCTGGGCACCACCACAATGAGGTAACTCCCTCGCCCCCAGTGATTCTATCTGAGTAGGACGTGGGAATTACTGTCACCTTCTGAGACCTAAGCCCTTGACTCCTGTGCCCCTTATTCAGAAGCAGGACAGTGAAAAGGTTTGGGAGAAGATTAAGGGAGATGCAAAAAATCAAAAGAAGGCTACTTTTTCTTTGCCTCTTAATTTTCTAGTGAGATTGGGAACAATGGTGAGGGTGTACCCAAGCGCTCTTGCATTCTCTTTGCCTGGATTTACTGCTTAGCGCTGGCCTGGAAGTTACCATGTGTACTTCCTGGTTATGATGCTGATGTGCCGCCTGGCACTAAGGAGGCTGCATACCTCTTTGGTTCATCAGTTTCTTCATATGTAAATTGCTTGTGTTTCCTGCTCCCGGTAGCAACATTACCAAAAGTAGAAAAATCGGAACCCTGTTAACAGTCTGGTGCATTTTCGCTGTTTCTTGATGAGAGATGCCATGCTTAATGTTAGATACAGGAGCATTTGCTAGAAGTATTAAGAGAAAGAGGATAAGGTAAATGATTTTTAGTGTCTTGCTTGCTGAGAAATTTTGGGGCTGACAATGTCAAAATATTAACTACTTATGTTCGAAAACTACTTACACTTCATACAGTTTTATTATGAAAAATTGACTCTAAGATACTCAGAATGATAATTAACAACTTAATTTTTCATTTAAGGACCTTTTGCTGTGTCAGTGTGTAGCTTGGTCTCCTCAAATTCTGACATTCTTTTTAAAAAAATTTTTTAACGTTCATTCATTTTTGAGAGAGAAAGCATGCAGGAGCAGGGGAGGGGCAGAGAGAGAGGACAGAGAATCTCAAGCAGGCTCTGCACTGTGAGTGTAAACCCCAACATGTGGCCTGAACCCACGAACTATGAGATTGTGACCTGAACCAAAGTTGGACGCTCAACCAATTGAGCCACCCAGGTGCCCCCAAATTCAATCATAATTTTTTCTTTACAGAGTTAAGAGTGTAACTTCTCCTTAGCAAATCACACATGCAAGATGTGAGACTAGAAAGAAAAGATACTTCTTATGTAGCATTACTACATTTATGGTCGTACCTCATATTTTGAAGCATTTAATGCAGTTTTTTAAGAATCTTTATTGACTCCATGGGGGTTCAGTGTTTTCCTTAACTGTAGCTGTGTCTTTGCATTTGGTCGGTAGCAGAACTTAGTAAGAGCCAGAGGAGAATGCATGCGGGAACTGACAGCATCCATACGGATAGGTCCACCTACTGAGCAGGAATTAGACACCTTTTCCTCAAGTATTTAACTGATAACTGAGAATTAAGTTCTATATCTGTATGGGTGTAAACGAATAGGTAATGAGTAAAACTATTTTCGTCCCTGAGATGGTCAGTGAAGGCAGTAAAGAAGAATTGCCACCCTTTCCCAGAGTTGGTTGTGAGGTTTGAGTCTCCTCATGAGCTGCCCCCGCCACCCTCCAGGGGAATCTGAGTTCTCTTTTCCCAGAAGTGAAGAATGGAGTTGGAAGGGTACCCAAAGACACTAAGAAGTAGAGAAATTCAGAATGATCAAATAAGGTCACCACCAAATGAGATGGTGGCTCAGGAGCCAGAGGTCATCCTAATAATGGCTCCCCAGGTCCAGGTTCCACAAGAGCCTTCTGGGCTTTCCCCGGATGGCCTTGATGAAGACTGGAACACGTTGAGATCATTCCGTTGAAGGAATCCTCCAGGTAGAGGTGGCAGCTGGGCTCAAGGGTGTCCTCAGACCTCTCCAGGATCTTGCTGGACAGTGGCTGAGACCCAGTGTTTACACAGAGGAACAGACTGGAGATGCTGGCGTACGAGTAATTCCAGGTTGTCTTGCCTGAGGAGCTCAGAGCGCAGGTGCAGGGATGGCAGCCTGGGGTCAGAATCCCTGGTTGAGTCTCATTGCTCCTTCTTGCTCAGCCTGCATGAGAAGTAACCAGAGTTCTCTTGTTGCAAGATCTGACTGCAGTCGTGGGAAGTCTAACCTTGGTTTTCCTTGAGTTTGCCTTTGACTAGTTGTAATAATAAATCAGAACTCAGGTCTGGATCTCTTTTGGCTGATGCAGCTGTTTCCTGAAACTGTGAACTCCTGTTGTTTCTCTCTCCTGTTGTTAAGACAGTCAGCCTGCTGCTTATTTTTACTCTGCTGAATGCCTCCTTTTTTGCCTCCTTTTGTGACATGTTTTAACGTACTGTTTTTATGTATACAAAGGGAATATTGCTTTAACTTTCTGAATTCTCCATTCTTGCTTTGCTGGCATGAATAGAAGCTTCTGTAACCACACCAGTAACTCATTTGGGATGTGCTTGAAATGTTAAAGTTTGGTCCTCAAAAAAAAATGTTTAAAGGTGAAGAAGGATTATGGAATCATGCGTTCAGAATAGCCAGCCAGATTTGTTAACCCATTTCCTGTGCTGTTTTGTGAAATCCCTAAATTGTACTGAATGAATATAGACACTGTGACATGAATTCACGCTCTTATATACTGAGTTGATCCAAAATCAGATACTTGTAGAAAAGGTGACTTTGAGAGGTATGTTTTGGAATTTTAACAGTGTGTGTGTTTATTAGTTTTATTTTTTTAGCAGGAAGAGTGCTATTTGGAAATAGAGCAAAACTGAGACAAGTTAGCTAAATTTCTGGGCTTCTCTGTCACTTTAGGCTCCAGCGGGAGGCAATGGTGCTGAAAATGTGGCCCCTGACCAGCCTGCTAACCCGCCGGCCGAGAACGCGGTGGTGGGAGAAAACCCTGATGCCCAGGACGATCAGGCAGAAGAAGAGGAGGAGGACAACGAGGAGGAAGAGGACGCGGGCGGGGAAGATGCAGCCGATGCCAACAACGGGGCCCAGGGTAATGGCCGCTGGCCCATCCTTCTGCTCCCTCCATGACCATGAACCCACTTCTAGCTTTTCTTGAGGAGAAGGACTAGAATTTTCAAAATTTTATGGGCTTGGAGTTGTATTTCCGGCCTGTTTTTACTCTGTTTTGCAAACTTGCATTTCTGGATGTAATTTTTTTTTTTTCCTGTGAAGCAGGGTACATTTTGTGTTTTATTTATGTATTTAATGTTTATTTTTGGGTGAGTGCAGGCGGGGGAGGGGCAGAGAGAAGGGGACAGAGGATCCGAAGCAGGCTCTGTGTTGACAGCAGCAAGGCTGATGCAGGGCTCGAACTCAACGAACCATGAGATCGTGGTCTGAGCCCAAGTGGGATGCTTTACCGACTGAGCCACGCAGGCGCCCCACGTTCTGTGTTTTAAAATCCTGCTTTGTGTGGGACTTTTCTAGAATGAATAGGAAGAAGTTACTTGTAAGTTGTAGTAGATCCTAGGTTTTTTTTTTTTTAAAGGAATTTGATACAGATATACTTTATTCCTTTCCATTTCTATTAAGTCAGCACAGCTTTTTATATCAAAGAAGAATTCTTGAGGTGTACATGGCAGGCCAGATGCCATTAAGGAGGCCATTTCTCTTCTTTTCTAGCAGTTTGTGACTCCAGAAAGTTAAGAAAATCCAAGACTGTGCCCACCAGCCTGCTATATCGCTAGCTCACCACCTCCATTTCCCCCTCTCACCCCAGAGTTTTCCTGTCAAGCACCATACTGTGTCTAGGCCCTCTTGACATTGCTGACATCGGAGTGCCTCCCGGGCGCCGGCACTCGGGTCCCTGCCTTCATGGAATTTCTGGTCTCTGTGAAGAAGCAGGAATACCCAAGTGAACAAGTACCTCGTTACACGTTGTGATAAGTGTGCAGGTTGCTCTGAGGATGCTCTTGGGAAAGACCCTTTTTAAGTAGGTTCTCCGGGTAGCTCAGAGTCGGTGACAGCTGAGACCTCGAAGGATGAGGAGCGAGTTGGGTCATGGGAGCAAGGGGCCTTCATCGGGAGGGGCGAGTGTGTGTTCAAAGGCTCTGAGAATGTGGCCCTGCTGCCACCCTGATGCAGCCTCCATTTCCCTCTCTCGTCCAGCACAATAGCTCCTAATGAGCTGCTGTTCTCTGCTCTCGCCCCACTGTATTCTCACTGCACAGAATGTTCCTAGTGCCTCCTGCCTTAAATTCTTGTAGTGGTTTCTCCGTTGTACTAAAGAAGAAAACATAGTCCAGTTTTACCTTCCCCGCTTGTATGATTGGATCTCTGTCTGCCTTTCATACTGTCTCTTCTGCCACCCTCCCCCCGTGAAGAAGTCTTGTCCCCTGCCTTCCTCATCTTTCTCAAGTTTGCCAGATTCATTCTGGTTTAGTTCCTCTCTTTCACATAATCGTATTTATTGCCTTTCCAACACTTAACCACAGTCTAGAATTAACTATGTATGTGTTTCATTTGTTTATATGTGTTCTTCCTGCCCTAACAGGCAAGTAATGTGGTTCAGCTTCTCATCAGTGGTTTACAAAACACCAAACTAAAAGAATGTGTTTGTGGTTCAGGTTCCATCAGTAATCTTTAAATGACAATTATATTTCCAGATGACATGAACTGGAATGCTTTAGAGTGGGACCGAGCTGCAGAAGAACTTACGTGGGAAAGAGTAAGATTCTTTCATGCATTCTAGTGTTGTTGTTGTTTTTAATTATTTTAATTATTTGAGAAAGAGCACAGGGCAGGGGCAGAGAGAGAACCCAAGCAGGCTCCTCACTGTCAGCGCGGAGCCCAATGCAGGGCTTGAGCTCATGAACCGTAAGATCATGATCTGAGCTGAGATCAAGAGTCGGAAACTTAACTGACTGAGCCACTGAGGTGCCCTGCGTTCTAGTGTTTTAACCTGAAACTGTGTTTTAAAGTCAGGCATTTTTATATTTATACACTAATTTTGTAGTCAACGTTTGATGGAGACTGTGAACTTTAATTTCTAGAGAAAAGTGACATATTGTTTGTGGTGAAAATATTAAAAATATAATGTTATTACTATTTTTCTATTTTCTGGCCTTTAATACAAACACATTGTGGACTTTTGGAAAATGAAGTAACAATTTAAATGAAGTATTATTCTGATACTGCAAGTTGATAGGTCCTGAAGTCTTGACTGGCTCCATAGCTAATGTAAGAAGTAAACCCAAGATGGAATTGTTTTGATTTCATAATCATAAGATTTAGAATAAAAGGAGGCCCAGATATAAAACTCTAGTAAGTTTTTTACTCTGAAAATGATAAGCTGTTTTAGAAAGTAGTGGGTAAGGATTATGTTTACAGATAATTGAAAATGAGCCTTTTTTATAAACAGAAAAAAAATCCTGTTGCATCTTTAATTCATGTATATTGTTATTTATTTTAGATGCTAGGACTTGACGGATCACTAGTTTTTCTAGTAAGTAAAGCCAATATTTTTTAATGATAAGAGTTGTGACTTAATTATCTTAATGACTCAGCAGTTTCAAATTTACAGTATTATGTGCTGGCTTTTTACGCTAAAGGTCAGCATGCCCTGTGCCTTTTGATTACTTGATATGTTGAAGAAAGTCTGTTTTGTGTATTGAAAATATTGGCAAAGAACAAAGGTAATAGTATTTAAAAAGGTAATTATTGATTGCTTGATTTTTAGGAAACAAAATGAAATACAGAACTGTAGTTAAGAAGAACTTGATTTTTTTTTTTTTTTTTTGGTCTTTTTAAACTTTGCAGTATATTAATTCATGCCTGAACTGGTGAAAATAGAGCAGCTTTGCAGTGTTCCCGGTGACAGGCCCATTTTCATGTTAGGTTTCCACTGTTTGCCAAACCTCACCTATCTTCTTTACTTACTGGTAAAGAGTACATACAGCTCAGAGGTGAGGAGTAGTTCCTTATTTAGGAGAAGTGGTGCTCTTTTCAGGTTCTGTAATATGAAATCACTTGGGATTTTTGAGTATTAAGATGACTTTAGCTGCATGGGGAAGATTCCCTACTGCCTCAAACAATCATGTAAGGTGACAGTCATCTTGGAGGTGATAATACATAGTAAGTAACTGTGGGGGTGGATGAATGGCCAAGAGGGAATGAGTATTCTAAGACCTCCACTGAGAAAACCGGGGTGCCATAGGGAAAAAAGGGACCAAGGAAGATCAAATGACCTTGCAGAAACCATGAGAACAAAATGGGCAGTGGAAAGAAGCACTGTGCAGTGTACATTCATAAAAAGTTCAGAATTAATGTGATTTTTGAATTTTCCTCCATTTGGAAATTTTCAGCGTCATCTGATTTAAACGAAATCTGGGTATTTTTTGTGAGAATCTGTGATTTGTAGTGGCTTCTTTCTGAAGAGGAAATGTTTATAGATTGATTTTTTTCCCCTACATGTAACATTATGAACTTGAGCCTTATTAGGCTTAATTGTATGAGCTATGTAATGAAAAATAAGTTGCACATAATTTCTGAAATGAAATCTCAACATTCTAGAGTGAAAATTCCAGCCTCCTAAGTAAGTGGAGTAGTCTCGTTAGACATATAGTAAGAATTGAGTATGTTTTATTAATGGCTCTTTTCTTTTAGGAACATGTCTTCTGGGTGGTGTCTTTAAACACACTCTTCATTCTTGTTTTTGGTAAGTGGTGTTTATACTGTTATTTATGGTAATAAGATAGGAGTTGTTTTTTTGGAGCCTTGTTATGGGTTTTGTTTTTGTTTGTTTTTAAACACAGGGATATACGAAATGGTTTCAGATAGTTATCCTGTACTGGAAGGCCCCACCCATACAGATAACTTTTCTTTCCTAAGCGACATTGACTATAGTTACCTACCATCTCTGCTTCTTTGGGGCATTTCCATCTCTTTTTATAGAAGCTGGTTTTAGACTGACTTGAGGATAGGCATCATCCTGTCTCTGGAACCAGTTTTGTGGTGATTATCTGTGTGTTCTTCCCTTTGGCAGAAGATCTTGTTTCCTCTCTCAGAATCCTATCCAAGGCCTTCCCAGAGACCCTGGCTCGGGAGCTGTCACCAGAGGTGGATAGAGGCTTGAGGAGAAAAGTGAACCTTTCCCAAGTGTGAATTTCCTTTAGAACCAAATTCCAGTAAATGCAAAGTCATTTCCAAACACTTTGACAACTGCAACTGTGAGGATTTTGTGACGACACATGAGTCCCTCCTGTTGGGAGTGATTAGAGAAAGGAAGATGGGCGAGGAGACAGAATTCACAGGTTTTTCTGCTTTGAGAAAGATGTAATTCCTGCACCTCTCAAGGGAAAGGAAGTGGAGTCTGATAGAATCAGGCTGTTAGATTGTACTTTGATTTGCGTCTCATAGAGACACCTCAGGCTACACATCTCTTGATAGGGCTGATCTTTGAGAAATTCCTTCTTTCTGCATGTGAGTTACCCCTTAATTCTGCTCAGGAGGGGCAGTATAGATTTCCCAATGTTCTTACACTTTATCCTAAGTTACTCGTTTTGGGTTGCCAACCACGTTGTGACTCAGAAAGCAGTTAGGCCTTCAACGGGAAGTGTTGAAGTGTTGTAAAAAAGACATTGAATATGTAGACTTGAGAATGAGACGAAAAACTAATTTCTGAATATTATCTATGAAAGAACAAAAAAAATTTAAAGGTATCTTGTTGAAACAAAATAATCTTGAAAAAGTTCCATTGATTCTTAATTTTTAGTAGCTATTTAAGATGGTGCAAATTGATAGGAAGCTCATTCTTTGTTTCCTTTTGCGAGGGTTGGGGTGGGGGGGTGGAAACATGAAAATGAAGATTATTCTGCATACATTCTTCATTATGTAAAATAATTGATACATAGAGTGTGAAACTGTTCTGATTCTTTGAGAGAAAAAATGATGTGTAGATTTTGTCTTTGTTCTTGCAAGAAAAGCTTAATGCTGAATTAATGTTTGGAGGAACAAGTCGCCTTTAAAACATGAATTATAGTGGGGCACCTGGCTGGCTTCTTCGGAGGAGCGTGCAACTCTTAAACTTGGAGTTGTGAGTTGAGCCCCGCATTGGGTATAGAGATGACTAAAAAATAAATAAATAAACTTAAAAAGAAAACATGAATTATAGAAATGGGAGCACTCATTTATGTAAAGCAAATCTAAGTAAATTTTTTTTTAATCCAGCCTCTAAGCTTATGCTATAAAAAAAGTTGTCTTCGTATGAAACCTGTATATATTATACTTAGGATCTTTTGAAATGAACCAAGAGGTTTTCCTTTTCTTAGGAATATACTTTTCCTTAAAGGTGAATGGCCATTGGGATTAAGCACACTCCTATTTCTTTTCTACTTTAGTTGCTCTGTTGGAATTTTCCACCTCCATTTTTGGACTCTTATGGTCATGTACTTTGCAGAATTATAACCTTATTATGCAGCTGTGTCCTAGTAGAAGGGAATGATACTGAGAAACTGACCTTAATTTCAGGATATTTATCTGGTAGTTGCTGTGTAATTGGATAGAAATTGTTAACAATTGGTGCTTCTCAGGAGCCTATTTGAGTCATCATCAGAGCTGGGTGTGAACAAAATAGGAAAAATTCTGCATAGAATTTTTTCTTACTCTTACAGGAATTTCTCGTGCTTTATAATACACATATTAGTAAAATAATGTGTATATGATTTATAATTTTAAATATGTTGAGAATACCTGTTCAAAATAATTTCTACCCATGGAATATAATCGATTAGAGAGGTGTGGTGGCCAGATCCTGTAGATTCACTCTTTTGTCTTAATGATTGAGTCCCCTCGTGGCTTCCCTAGTAATCTGTGCTGCTCAATTAATTTTGCCATAAAGAAAATATAATTACATTTTATTAAGAAAAATAAAATTGTATTAACATGACAAGAAATACTTGAGGAAAAGAGACTATACAAATTTTTATTATGAAAATTTTAAGGATATTTTCTCGTTCAACCATAGTGTCTATCACACTGTACTAAATTAGCAGAATTTAAGTTTTTTTTTAACAATCCATCATATTAAAAATTCCTAGATTGTCTCCTTAAATGTCATTTTACAGTTGGTTTGTTTGAGGATGAAAATAAGGTCTACACATTAGTTTTGGTTGTTAAGTCTTAAGTTCCTTTTGATCTAGAATATTCTTTGCTCCTTTCTGCTACTTCTACCCTATTTTGCCATTGATTTCTTGAACAGACTAGGTCACTTGTCCTACATTTGTCTGATTTGTTTCTTGTATGCTGTCTACCGCCTTGCTCCTTTGTCTCTATTTTTCCTTTAAACTGGAACGTTTAAGTCACATCATAGTTAACCTGAAGCTGTTTGTTCAGAAGAAGCCAGACAGGTGTGTGCGGTTCTTTCCCTCCAATTATCAGTTTTCAGGGTAAGGAATTGATGTGCTGTTTCCATGGGTGATGAAAGTGTTTTTTCTTCTGTTGCTTTTTGTCCTTTTGCGGTTTTGTTTTTGGCTTTCCCCTTTTTGAGTAGTATGAACTCATGTATTTGTGAAGCATTCAGTGTGTTTCCATCAGTTTGGTCATTCTTTGATGCTCATATTGTCCTTTCATGAGACTTCATGATGGTTCCTGGGTCCTTTTGCCATGAGCCTATTCGACTTTGATATCTTTGTTGTTTTCCGGTTATAGAGAACGTCCTAGGCAGTACATTTTTGACCCCAGTTCTGGAATCTTTCATTTCTCGAAGAAGCTCTGGTTCCTTTTAGTGTGGGTTGACACTAGGAGTGTTCGTTGTTTTGATTTTGAAGTTTTCATTGAGTTTTTTTCTTCCCTTTTTAGCATTTTGCCCTTACCATATTGGTCATTTCTCCCTTGTTGGTTTGGGATTTGAAGAACACGTGAGTATAATACTTTTACAAGCTTACTTTCATTATTTTGCCCCAGATTTGATATTTGTTGAGTAAATGATAGTGTTGTAAAGAGTTACTTCATTTCTCAATTTGCCTTACACAAAGGAATAGTTATCCAACATTACCTCATTGTTTTTCTTTTTTAAACTAACAGAGGCTTAAGACAGTATAGATAATATTGCCAGCTGAGGAAGATGTGCTCTGAATCCCATGATGCACTCATGTCTTTCTTCCTGTTGGGTGGGCCAAAGGCATGCTACTGGAAAGTTTTCGTACAGGATGATTTTTGACCTGTTCCATTAACTTGTATGCTCCCTTCTCTCCCTTTTCTTTAGCTTTCCCATAGTGAATTTAGAAAAGTAGCAACATATCAGTCAACTTAAAAAAAAAAAAAAAAAAGGATTGGTCTGTTTTGGAATGATAGGCTATAGTGTTTTCTAAAGAATTTGTTTTAATTTTGACATCTCCATGTTTTTAGAGGTAGATAAATATTTGGATGGTCAACTACAGCTATTTTGTGGGGTCTAGTGACTATTTTGTGTAGGGGTCTATTTTGTGAAAGATCTAGTCTTTCAAGGAAGAGCTGACATATCTGGAACGTTCTGTTCAATTTGTGTATGTAAATCCGGAGAGCTCAGATTCTGAAGCGTTCTGAAAGGGCAAAGAGATGTGTTTCAGTGTTTAATTGCAGCTCTGCTTCTCGCAGTTGAACACACTTGAAAGGTTCACATAAAGCTTTGATAAATTTGACTTTCCAAACTATCACCACTTGCTGTCTGAAATTCAGGAACCCAAAAGATTTGTCACTGTCCAAACTTTCACTCTCTGTAAGTTGAAAATGGAATGGATTTGGAGAGCAGGGGAAATGTACGCAGTCGCTCCTCGGGGTGGGAGGTGAGGGGCTGAGACGGACCTGGCCGGCCGGCTGCTTGGGTGGCGCGCTGCTGCTTTCTTTGCTCAGCCCTGGGCGAGTCCGCGTCAGGCCAGAGTAGAGACGAGACTAGTGTTTTGCAGCAGTTAATTTTGTAAAATTTAATTCACTCTGCTTTTATTTTGTCTGCTTGAGTAGAGTGTTACTCTTTGATTTTACCTCATCCTTTCATAATATACAGCAGTGGGAGAGTCTGGTTTGCAGAGATGTCATTCAAAGGGGATTTTATAGTTGGTTTACAGCTTTTAGTCTGCTTGGATTGTTCATACATTATTAAACTGGGATGTAGACCGTATGGTAAAATTAAATTCTATTTATTTTTATTTCCAGGTACAAGCATCTCATTTTGAAGGTCTAATCACAACCATAGTTGGGTATATACTTTTAGCAATAACACTGATAATTTGTCACGTATCCTTTAATTAACTAACGTGGGTATTCAGTGATGTTATTCATACCAAAGAGTTGTTCCTGTTAATGACAAAACTGTTTCTTTTCTCTTGTCCTTTCAGTAAAAGCTGTAGATATATGTAGTGAGGAGGAGGACAGATAAAGTATGAAATAAATTGTCAAATAATATTAAGTGTTGCCTAAATAAGTATCTGTTATGCTCTGATTTTCCTTGACTAGATGCTGCAGGGCTTGGCAACTCTTGTTAAATTTCATAGGTCTCGTCGCTTGCTGGGAGTCTGCTATATCGTTGTTAAGGTAATTCCTGTTATAAGTTAAAACCGGAAGTGGCTTCTCCCCATTTGGATGATACTGATGATCTTTGTTTTTACCACAGGTCTCTTTGCTAGTGGTGGTAGAAATTGGAGTGTTCCCTCTCATTTGTGGCTGGTGGCTGGATATCTGTTCCCTGGTAAGTTTGTTATTCATTATCATATGACCTAATAATTTAAAAGCTTCAACAAAGGAGGTCTTTAAAATGAATTCCTTTTAAAGGAAACTCAATAGGTTAGTAATTTGCTTATTTTTTCTGAGAATGAATCATTGTGGAGTCTTAATGTTACTAGTATTTGTTGAGTACATGATTTTATTTGAGGCTTTGTGCAGATTTTTGATGTCCGAGTATTTTGACTGGAACCTTTCTAATAACCAGTGGAGAAGTTTTGTACCCATTTTACTCTTCTAAATTTTACAGTAATGCCGAGACGTTACATACATAAAGAGAACAATCTAATAAGCTGTCTTTGTTTAATAAATTCAACTTTAATCATTTCTTTTAACTAAGATGCTTAGTCTTGATTATAATTTAAAAAAATTGTGTTTTTTTTGTTTTTTTTTCAACATTTATTTATTTTTGGGACAGAGAGAGACAGAGCGTGAACGGGGGAGGGGCAGAGAGAGAGGGAGACAGAATCGGAAACAGGCTCCAGGCTCTGAGTCATCAGCCCAGAACCTGACGCGGGGCTCGAACTCCCGGACCGCGAGATCGTGACCTGGCTGAAGTCGGATGCTTAACTGACTGCGCCACCGAGGCGCCCCTAAAAAAATTGTTTTTAATGTTTATTTACTTTTGAGAGAGAGAGAGAGAGAGCGCGTACATGCGAGCAGGGGAGGGGCAGAGAGAGAGGGAGACACAGAATCCAAAGCAGACTCCAGGCTCTGAGCTGTCAGCACAGAGCCTGATGCGGAGCTTGAACTCATGAACTGTGAGATCATGATCTGAGCTGAAGTCGGAGGCTTAACTGACTGAGCCACCCAGGTGTTCCTTGATTATAATTTTTAAGGCTGCCAGTGATAATCACGTTTTGACTTTTCAGAAATATTTTGTGTGTAGAAAAGCACCCATACCTTACTATTAAAACTTGTCATGAATGCAGACCTGTAACCAAGGAAAGAAGGTATCATTAACCAAAAATGTGTCTTTCACAGTAGCAGCATTAGTAAAGTTTGTTTTTTTTGTTTTGTTTTTTTTTTTGTGAGAGACAGAGACAGTATGAGTGGGGGAGGGACAGAGAGAGAGAGGGAGAGCAAGAATCCCAAGCAGCCTCCGCACTGTCAGTGCAGAGCCCGACACAGGGTTTGAACCTATAAAACCACAAGATCATGACCTGAGCTGAAACCAAGAGTCGGACGCTCAACTGACTTACTGAGCCACCCAGGCGCCCCCGCATTAGTGAAATTCTTATTCGCCCATTGGTTTATCAGTCTTCCTTCTAATATTTAAAACTTTCAAGGGTCATTATCTATCTTTGAAATAGTATCCTGTCTTATATCAGTTATATTTCTGTCATACCATGAGATGACATTTAAAGAGCTGTAGTCCGGGGCGCCTGGGTGGCGCAGTCAGTTAAGCGTCCGGCTTCAGCCAGGTCACAATCTCGCGGTCTGTGAGTTCGAGCCCCGCGTCAGGCTCTGGGCTGATGGCTCAGATCCTGGAGCCTATTTCCAATTCTATGTCTCCCTCTCTCTCTACCCCTCCCCCATTCATGCTCTGTCTCTCTCTGTCCCAAAAATAAATAAACGTTGAAAAAAAAAATTAAAAAAAAAAAAAAATAAAGAGCTGTAGTCCTAGAACGTCATAACCCATACACGTAGTGATATATTCACTTCCTGGAAGATGGAGATGTTAATTTGGCAAATGTGAGTGGTACAGATCTCTCACTTGTTCTGCTTTGATTTAGGAAATGTTTGATGCTACCTTGAAAGATCGAGAACTGAGCTTTCAGTCAGCGCCAGGTACTACCATGTTTCTGCACTGGCTGGTGGGGATGGTGTACGTGTTCTACTTTGCCTCCTTCATTCTGTTGCTAAGAGAGGTAAGTTCTCAGGGAGACGCCAGCACTGTCCCTTTAAGGAAAGGATTTTGTTTTAACCACGTGTCCTGACTAATTTTCTCAAGGATTTTAGTCTAAGAAGGAATAGCTGATAGAGGAATTTGGCTTTATGTCTTTAAACTGTTTTCAGTCATTTGTCTCAAAAATTGATAAATTTTAATATCTCTGCATATAGTTAACGAGTTTGAAAGATGAGTAGATGGAGATTGAAACTACTTGTTTTACTTGGTGTCTTTTGTAGCCATCCTCTCCTACAAATCCTTGAAATTTTATGTGATGTGAGTCTGACTTGGACTTCGTTCAAGAAAATATAGTGCTGGAAATACCCAGAGGTTTTGCAGGATCACAGTGTAAAGTTTGTGATCAAGTACCTTAAATATGGAATCACAGTGAGGGTCGTTTATGACTGCAGTTCACTTGCGGATGAGTACTTTCACTAGTCCTGTTTTTAGAATACGGTCTTTCCCGATTTGAAGAGAGTGAAAGTAGGGTCAGTATTTGATTAGTATATGTCATGTGCAATCATTCTGGTGCGGTGGGCAGTATAAAAGTGAGTAATTTTGACAAGCGTACTTGCTGCTGTGCATTAGTCCCTCACATATTACCGCATAGTCCCTCTGTGCCAGACACGGTGCTGACTGCTGAAGTAATAGTGAGAAAAACAGAGACACGGTTCCCGCTCTTTCCGATTTTATATCCTGGGAAGGAAGAGAGGCATCTGACAAGTCCGCTTACAGCAGTGAGAGTGGTGATGGAGATGCACAGGGCCGCCGGAGGAGGCCGACTGATCCAGTGTGAACGGCTTAATGCTATCCTGGCGTACATTGTGTTTTGGGAAGTTGAGGCATTAAGGAGGGGGGCTGAGGTCAAAATGTTCTCCTGAATCATATAGTGTAAGTTCGGTAAATTCTACTTGCAAATAAAACTTGTATTCTTTCTTTGAAGCAAGTGATTGAGACTAACTTAATCTATTCAAAACTGTATATAGAACCTCTTAATTATACTGTTAAGTGATAAACTGTTTCACATTGAAATTTTTCGTCTTCTCAGTGGGGTGGTTTTTGTGGTGCACAATCCTAGAATTGGGGTGTCAGATGAAACCTTAGAGGTCAGATACCCCCTCATTTGGAGGTTGGAGAAATAGAGCTTGGGCAGTTGAAATGCTTTACACATGGCAGCTCCGTGCATTTGGACCACCTGAGACCACTACCTAGCCTCGCCCATTGCCCCACCACCCACAGCCTCTTGGGTTGATGATTTCCACTGAGAAACGGAAAAAGGATGTAGACAGTAAAATGAAAATGCTGAGAGTTTCTAGCTCCTTTCGGGAGTGTGAGGCTGAAGTCAGATCTTGTATTAAAACATTTATAAATTGCAACATAATTCTTTCACTGGATGACACAATATAGTGACAGTTCTTTATTTTTCTATTTTCATTTTATTTATTTTAATGTTTTTGATTTATTTTTGAGAGCGAGAGAGTGAGCGAGTGAGCAGGGGAGGTGCAGAGAGGGAGGGGACAGAGGATCCTAAGTGGGCTGCACGCCGACAGCAGAGAGCCCGGTGCAGGGCTCGAACTCACGAACTGTGAGATCATGACCCGAGCTGAAGTTGGGTTCTCAACTGACTGAGCCACCCAGGTGCTCCTATAGTGACAGTGTTTGAAAACAACAACAACAACAAAAAACAACTTTTTATTTTTGGAGATTTAGGTTTCTTGACAAATTCTACATATTTTTTTTTTCATTGAATGATTAAATGGACATCTAGCAAAATAGTTTATTTCATATAGATTCTGATTTAGGAACTTCTTTTCATAGGAAAGCCATGTGAATTTTCTGGGACCCATTTTATTAAGTTTTAAAAGCTTACTTTTCTGTTGATATTTTAGCTCATCTACAGAGTCTGAAGACATTGGTGAGTATTCATAGCATTTATATTTGCAGGTACTTCGACCTGGTGTCTTATGGTTTCTAAGGAATTTGAATGATCCAGATTTTAATCCAGTACAAGAAATGATCCATTTGCCCATTTATAGGCATCTCCGAAGATTTATTTTGTCAGTGGTAAGCATACCTTTTTATTATTTTTTGAGTAAAGTGTGCTACTCTTTTGTATTGTTTTGTGGGGGTTTTTTGGCAGCGGGGGGTGCAGTCAGGGGCTGGTAGAGTAGATACGTTGAGTTATTTAAGTTGGTGGAAGTTGGTTGTCAAATAGCTCTTCTATTGGTTGTTTTGATAAAGTAATTAAAATGTTTACTAAAAACAACATTCCCTAGTTCTTTAGTAGTATAATTGGTTGCCAAATTATGGCTTTTGAATTACACTTCATTTGCATTGGAGCAATGGAGATTCATTAATAGTTTTTAAATTCAAAAAACTCTAAACAGAAGTATCTTGAAGTTTCTTTCTTACCTGGAAGAAGAAATTACCTAGTTAAAGCTAAGTTTTTTTAAAATAAAATTTACAAAGCAATATGGTGCCTTCCGGAAACTTTTGTAGCCATTAATATGGGTCACGTCTTATATGTGGTTTATTAAGTTGCAGATGATTCTGATCGTTCATTGTAAGTTTCTGACCCTCTCTTCACATACCGTGCAGTGATTATCCTTTGTGGCTCCTCCTTGAGCCTTTGTGTCCTAGAGAGAGAGAGAGAGAGGAGCACCCTTCCCAGGAATGCATTCTTTCCACAAAGTGACCCAAGTATATAGTCTGTGGAGTGAGAACACTCTGGGCCGTGGGTGGGTATAGACACTTGGATTGCATCCTGGCTGGGTATGTTCAGAAGTCTGTTTGTCTCTCACAGGAATGGTTAACAGTGGTGTTCTGCCTTTTTTCTTAACTGCAGATTGTCTTTGGCTCCATTGTTCTCCTGATGCTTTGGCTTCCTATACGTATAATTAAGAGTCTGCTGCCTAATTTTCTTCCATATAATGTCATGCTCTATAGGTGAGTTTTTGAAATTTAGAAGCTTTACTAGTTTAGCTTTGTTGATAACCTAGAGTGTATACATTTAAAACATTCGTTTCTTAACAGATACTGGAAATCATTTGATACTTGAGTTTTGCCATTTTAGATTGTATAAACATTAGTTTAGCAGTTGCATTTTCCAAAGAAAGACTTATTTTTATGCAAATCAAGTGTGCTTTTGTTCAGCATTGAAATGTTTACCATACTTAATGACACCATGTTAGCCACCATCATTTTTGTATGAAAAGCACATCATAAGGAATGTGTAGCCATAGTTATATGTTTAATTGTAGATTAAAATTAAGAAATAAGGCTTATGGATGGAAAATCTCTTTCATTTAAAAGCCTAAGTCACCTGGAAACTTAGTCTCTGCCACTCCCCCGCCCCCCCATTCCTTTTTTCATTGACTTGCATCATCCTTTCAGTTACCTAAACAGAAGGCTGCTGGGAAATTGGATTTCTTTCTCAGACTTCTAATTAGTCTTTAAATATCGTTAAGTCTTATTTTTAAAGGTCTCTTATCTAATCCAACTTGATTTACCACTTCCTTCGTTTAGGCTTTCCTCTTGTTCTCCATTTATAGCCCATCCTTACTTAACACCCTGCCTCTTCCTCCATAATCTACATCATAATATCCGGGTCATGTGCAAGGCTTGGCATAGTCTCATGTTGACTTTCCAGCGTCCTGTCCCTGCATTGTCTGACTCGAATTCTGCCCTCCAACCATGCTCCCCTCCGCTCAGTCTCCCTAAAACACCTAGCTATTCCTTGTCTTCCTTTCTGTTTAGAATGACCTTCTTCCTCATGTTTAGCTGGAACCCTTTTTGTTATCTTTACTCAAAATCCAAATTAAGATTTGATTCTCTGAATTTTTCCCTAACTAGAGTAAATCCTCATTCCCTCCTTGTGAATTTGGGTCTGGTTATAGTGAGAACCAAGAAGCTTAGGCTTTGGCTATATATATTGTTAGGATAGACCCATTTTGGTAGTCAGTTACACTTAGAAGTTTAGCAGTTTTGGGCCTGTATAGCAGTATTTAGTCCATTCTTCCATTAAAAACAAAACAAAACAAGGGCCCATTATATGTCCGGTCCTTTTCTGTGCACTAGGTATATAACAGTGAACCAAACAGAATCAAGACAATTCTCTGCTCTTGTGGAGCTTACATTTCAGTGAGGGGGAGACACCCCTGAAAATAGAATATGTATATTTGGGGTCATCAGTACTAGGGGCTTGGAAGATGAAGCAGAGAAAGGGGATAGAGAGAGTGGCCAAGATGGGGTTTAATTAGAAGTGACTGATGAGGACCTGAAGAGGTGACAGCTCAGGAAAGCCCTGTCGGAGCTGCTGAGGGATGAGCCATATGGGTTCCTGAAGGTAGAGTGTCCTTGCAGGGGGTGGGCAAGTGCGGTGACATTGGGGTCCGTTTGAGGAGCAGCAGGGAGGCCAGTCTGGCTGGGGTGGAAGAAGGAAAGCATGGTGGTTGGCTGTGAGGTCAGAGAAGTCATGCAAAACCAGATCCTACAGAGTCTCGTAAGCCACTGGAAGCATTTTGGGTTCAACTTGAGCGATTTGGGGAGTTCTTGAAAGGTTTGACCAGAAGAGTGATCTGATACAGGTTAATTAAGAAGCGTCACCGTGGCTGCTGTGATGAGAAGAGACTGGGTCAGGTGGCCAGGACAGAAGCGGGAAGCCGGCTGGGAGGATGGCGCAGGGACCTTGGTGCTGAGGTGAAGGAAGTAGCAGTGGAGGTAATGAGAGGTGGTGAGATTTAGGGCATTGCTAGGATCCATCAGCAGGACTCCGGCTGTTTGAGTTGGAGTGAAATAAAGGCAGTCAATGACCTGAGCACCTGGAAGGATGGAGTTGCCATTTCCTGGGATGAGGAAGGCTGTGGAGGAGCAGGATTAGAAGGGAAGAGTGGGAATTTGGTCATGGTCAACTGAAGACGTCTCATGTCTGTAGGAGACGTTGAGGTTGCACTTTGGATACAAAGTTAGGAGTTAGGGAAGACGTCTGAGTGGTGCATAGAAATTTACCGCAACGTAGAAATTTAAGCCACACGAGTGTGCATTCATCCAGAGAGCATGCACACATGAGAGAGGACAGAGCCTGGGGCCCTCCGTTGTCTTCGGCTCCCTGAGCTAACAGATCTAGAAGGGCATCCAGTGAGAAAGCGTTTTGAGGACCAAGGAGTAACCAGTTGTGTAATACGCCATACAGCCAGTGAGGTGGGACCCAGACCTGACCATCACATTTAACACAGAGGTCACTGGCTACCCTTGTCGGGACTGGTTTTGGAGGATTCAAGGGAGAATGGGGGAGAGGTGATAGAGACCGCGTCAAGGAGTTTTGCTGTCATCCCATCAGATGTTTAGTATGATACAGTTATGATGGAAAATAGAGTCGCGCTGTAAATCACAGCTGTTTGTCATTGTCCTAGTGATGCTCCAGTGAGTGAACTGTCCCTTGAGCTGCTCCTGCTTCAGGTGGTCTTGCCGGCGTTACTTGAACAGGGACACACGCGGCAGTGGCTGAAGGGGCTCGTGCGAGCGTGGACTGTAACTGCTGGGTACTTGCTGTAAGTAGGCACTTGATGACCTTTCTGACAGAGTACGTTCCGTGCCCCACTCAGGAGATCGGAGTTTGAAGAAGAGACCATTTGGTGATATCTGCAGGTACATAGGATACTTACTTTGTTCAATTCTTCGTCTTGCTTATTTTTCTCATTACTGTACATCCTTTTATAGAGAACGTACGCACGTTTTTACCCTCTTGAAGTTGAATCTTTGTGATTTAAATGTTTTTCCAGAGAATGTGTGGCATTCTGCTGATTCCTTATTGCGAAGTACGCACTGGCTTGTATCGGATTGAGCAGGTGTCCCCTGCAGCCTCCGCCATCTCATTTTTGCCGCCACGGATGCGCGTTGAGTTCCCTGCCACAATAGGCACAGGCGCTGGACTGAATTTTCAGGGTGTTTTGGACGTGAATAGTGAATTTGGAAAAGTTTAATTTAAAGCAGGAACCAGCGTTTAGGCCAGAATGAGGGGATTAATAGTGCTGTGTATGGATTCTGCTTGTACGTTTTCTACCTTAAGGAATAACAAGAAAGTACGTCTCCTGTCTGCTGTTTTATTCTGATCTGAAGAGAGAATTTTTATTGATGTAATTTTTACACAGGGATCTGCATTCCTATTTATTGGGAGACCAGGAAGAAAACGAGAACAGTGCAAACCAACAAGTTAACAATAATCAGCACGCTCGAAACAACAATGCTATTCCCGTGGTGGGGGAAGGCCTGCATGCAGCCCACCAAGCCATACTGCAGCAGGGGGGGCCTGTTGGCTTTCAGCCTTATCGCCGGCCTTTAAATTTTCCACTCAGGGTAGGTACTAGAAGACTTAGACGTGGGGCGCCTGGGTGGTTCAGTTGGTTAAGCATCTGACTTTGGCTCAGGTCATGATCTCGCAGCTCATGAGTTTGAGCCCCACGTCGGGCTCTGTGCCGACAGCTCAGTGCCTGGATCCTGCTTTGGATTCTGTGTCTCCCTCTTTGTCTCTCTGCCTCTCCCTCACTCACAGTCTCTCTCTCTCTGTCTCTCAAAAATAAAAAAACATAAAAAAAATTTAAAAAAGACTTCACCAGAAGTCAAGTTTTTTCCCAATTTCTATTGAGAAATTTGCTGCTGTGGCTGGTGCTAGGAGCAGGTAGTCCTCTGTATAGAACTATCTCGCAGTCTCCTGAAAAGAGCCCCCAGCTCTCTCGTTAGCAGCGTGATATGTGTAAACCTAAGGTAAGTTGATCAGATCTCATAAGTGGCTCACAGTGTTGGGACTCCCTATGCTGCTGCTCCCTCTGCTGTTTGAAAGGAGCAGTGTTAAAGACCCTGGTGAAAATAAGACATTAACATTATTGATACATTTCAATTATGTGTCAGAGCTGAAATGGGCATTTTAATGTTTTCCCTATTTAATATTCTTCCTAATATGGCAAGATTGAGTAGTAATCTCATCTTTACATCTGCTGAAACTAAAGAGCAGATTGGTTAAGGAAGTGTCTTGTCCCAGCAAAACTTTCCCCCAGGCCCCACCAGAACTGTTCCTGACAAGGGTCGCAGTGGCTTTTGTTTCGTTAAATCCGATGGTCAGGTCTTGGTCCTCACCTCACTGGCTGGATAAGTAACATGTTGCACTTTTGGTCGGTCCTTACTCCACAAAATGCTCTTTCAGAAAGCATTCAGGAATCTTCAGGGAGGAGGTGATGCTTTTAAGTCTCTAAATTAGGCCAGCCAGAGAATAAAATTGGAAGTGGAAGGGCATGCCAGGCACATGCCAAAACACGAGGCAGGTTAGACATGGTAAGTTTGGAACTGAAGGGAATTAAGTGGATCTAGAGGGTGGAGTGGTCAGGGGCTGCCTGGGTGGCTCAGTCTGTCTGAGTCTGACTTTTTTTTTTTTTTTAATTTTTGTTTTAATGTTTATTTTTTAATGTTTGTTTATTTTGACAGAGAGAGAGAGAGAGTGGGGGAGGGGCGGAGAGAGAGGGAGACACAGAATCCAAAGCAGGCTCCAGGCTCTGAGCCGTCAGCACAGAGCCCAATGCGGGGCTCAAACTCACAGACCGTGAGATCATGACCTGAGCTGAAGTCGGATGCTCAACTGACTGAGCCACCCAGGTGCCCCTAAATGTCTGACTCTTGGTCTCTGCTCAGGTGTTGACCTCAGGGTCATGAGTCCAGGCCCCGTGTTGGGCTCTGCACTGGGTGTGAAGCCTACCTTAAAAAAAAAGGAGTGGGGTGGGGGGGGGGCCACCTGGGTAGCTCAGTTGGTTAAGCGTCTGAGCCTTCATTTCACCTCAGGTCACGATCTCAGGATTTGTGAGATTGATCCCCATGTCGGGCTCTGCGCTGATGGCATGGAGCCTGTTGGGGATTCTCTGTCTCTCTCAAAATAAGTCAATAAGCATTTAAAAAACAGAGGGTGGGGTGTATGCAGGTGAGCGTGAGCGATGGGGGAGTCGTGAGAGATGAGGCTCTTAGGCAAAAGGTACTTTTCGGCCCAGATGAGAGACAGTCGGTAGGAGTTTCTCAGGCAACGAAGGCCGACAGGCTCCTCTTGGAGTGTTATGGTGGGTGCTTCTCCGTCTTCCCTCTAGAGCTCTCCCTCCTGGGCCTGGTGAGGGAGAAGGCCAGCAGCACATGCTCCTCTTCTGCCCCGGGGGCAGCCACTTTCCTCTCAGCCTGCTCGCTTCTCATGCACACATGTCTGTCCAGGAGCCTCCGCTACACGTGACCGTTCACATTTAAACTTAATTAAAAGTAAATACAACTCGTGCGGATGTGGTGTGATGGATGTGTTAATTACTTCACTGGTAGGAATCCCTTTACAATGTGTACGTACAGCGAATCACGTTGTACACTTTAAATACATCACGGTTTTGTCGGTGAGGGGAAAGTACATTTCTAGTAACAGCACACGCAGAGTAAAGACAGTGTGGCCGTCACTGCCCGGTGACCCCACGTTGCGTGTGCTCGGCCGCTTGTGCCAGCGCAGGTTCCGTCATCGGTCACAGGTCTAATTAGGCAGCGCTGTTAGAGAGGAAGCTTTCCTTTTCACGAAAACTTGTTTTTTTGAGAATGTGATTACAAAGTGAGTGTTGGGGCACCTGGGTGGCTCAGTCAGTTGCGTGTTCAGCTCTTTAGCTCAGCTCAGGTCATAATCTCGCGGTTTGGGAGGTTGAGCCCTGAGTCAGGCTGTGTGCTCACTGACTGTGTGGGGCCTGTTGGGGAACCTCTCTCCCTCTGACCTTGTTGTCCTACACGTACGGGCACTCTTTTTCTGTGTCTTTCTCAAAATAAGTAAACTTTTAAAAATGAGCGTGCACACACAAGTGGGGGAGGGACGGAGAGAGGGAGGCACAGAATCCGAAACAGACTCCGGGCTCTGAGCTGTCGGCACAGAGCGCAACACAGGGCTCGAACCCACAGACCGCAAGATCATGACCTGAGCCAAAGTTGGACACTTAACCGACTGAGCCACCTAGGAGCCCCTAAGTAAACTTTTAAAAGAAATTGTATGTTTTTAGTTTTAATTTGGAAACATGTAAGCTGATTGTGTTTTACTTTATGCTGATTACAAAATATACATCCTTGTTACTTGCTGATGTATCTGGTTGTCTGAAAATAGACAGTTTTAGCTGAAATTAGAGGTAAATTTACCTAAAATAAAAATCTTTTTATGTGAAATGGAAGGAAACCTGGGAATAAAAGCCATTTCTTCTTACTGGGAGGATTATGCTGACACATTGAGGGGTGTCCTAAAATATGTTGAGCACATTTGAATCCCTTATGCCCTCTTATGTTTTGCCTTGCAGATATTTTTGTTGATTGTCTTCATGTGTATAACCTTACTGATTGCCAGCCTCATCTGCCTTACTTTACCAGGTATGAGCTAATGACGTGAAAAGATGCTTTGTATCTTCCATCAAGTATAAACCTGAAATAGTTTGCCCCTTATTTTTGATTGAATGTGGGCTATTGATCTCTTTAGGACTCTCCATCTCCTTGGAGTCATTTGTCTTAGAACAGAGGGGGACAAAATCGAGGTATAATTTCTGATTCATTTTTAGAAGTAAATTACATATGGTCACTCAGTTTTCTTGGACGTAGTCTTTAAAAAATCACCTGTGTGGCTTAGGTCATTTTTTTCAAGTCAGTCTTTTGACGTTGATCACGTTTGTCTTCACTGTATCTTTCCAGTCCGCTGTGTCTTGTTGCTAGACACCTTTATGAAGCCAGACCGGTTCCCTTTATTGTCTGGTGTCCACAAATACTAATCTTTAAATTTCAGCTAAACAGCATTTCTTCATCTGACAAGTGAGATGCTGTGGATGAATATAGTAGTTTGTCATGCTCTGCAAAGGTCAGGAGTAAATGGGAGTCGAGCCCAGAGCCAGTGACAGAGTCTCAGGAACAGCTTGCTGCCCCCACCCTCCCAGTTAGTGTGTATAGCAAGCCAGAAAATCCTGATTCTTACTGATCTATGTTAGCCACTTAACTAGTCATTAAGTGGAAGATACTTTTCATTCTTTTTTTTTTTTTTTTTTTATAAAATTTTTTTTTTTTTCAACGTTTATTTATTTTTGGGACAGAGAGAGACAGAGCATGAACGGGGGAGGGGCAGAGAGAGAGGGAGACACAGAATCGGAAACAGGCTCCAGGCTCTGAGCCATCAGCCCAGAGCCTGACACGGGGCTCGAACTCACAGACCGCGAGATCGTGACCTGGCTGAAGTCGGACGCTTAACCGACTGCGCCACCCAGGCGCCCCAAGATACTTTTCATTCTTACAAGTACATAAATGTGTATTGACTTAGTATCTCAAGTATAGCACTGCTCTTATAATGTTCTAAATCTGATTTGTATTGAATACTTGAGTTTCTCCATGAGGGCTAAGGTCAAGGAACAAGTAGGAAATTTAGTTTTGAGTGAGGTTTTTAAAAATAATGAGAATATTCTCTAATCTGTAGGAATTGTGATTTAACTTAAAATGGTAAAAATAAAGGTGGTTTGTTTTTTTTTTTTTAACTGCTTTTGAATAATAAACTTTGACCTTTAGAACTATGCTCGTAGGAAGCTCACTACTCCTCATATCACAGCTCTCAACAAAGTTTGATTAACGGCTGGGTGCAACATAGTAAATACATTGCTGAGAAAAGTTGGATTTTGAACTTGGGACAGTTTTACATTTGTGGTTTTAATGTTCTATTTTCATGTCTTTATCAGAAATACTGAAAAGTTAAAGGAAGGAAACCTAGTTTTAGTATCCAAATTTGTTAGTAAAAGTACTTTAATTTCACTGAAGATTGTTAACTAAATATTCCCCTGTTAATCTAATCTCACTATGGGTTAGTTTTCTGTAGCTTCAGTTCAGCTGATGATAACTTAGTACAAACTAAAAATTTTAACCCCGTCCTCTCAGAAACACTTAAGTAGAAGTGTGTGAAGTATGGAATAGAAACTGGCCATCAGATTTTTAAAAACCACCCAACTATAAACAACCACAGCAACTACAAAAAACCTTGGGATAGCAATATATGTAAATATATGTGTGTGTATAAAACACTAAACATTTCTGCAGAATTACCAGTAGTGATTTTTATATCTTTTTCAAATTAACATTCACATGTGTTTATTTCACATAACATTTATGTGTATTTGTCTTTAACAATAACTTATCTTCACACCCAAACCATTTTGTGAGGTTGCAGAGAAGTGTCGGTGCCAGCAGTGTGGCTTGTAAGACTTAGTTGTTGAGCTGCTTTAGTTCAGTTGGAGGCAGAGTGCTTCATTGGTCAAGAGCATGAGCTCTGTGGTTCATTGGTCAAGGCATGAGTTCAAATTCAGCCTCCACCTTCACGGGACCTTGGTTGGGCCAGGTTCTTAATCTTCAAAATGGAAATAGTGGCTGCTTAGGGGTTCTTAGGAGGATTGAGATAATATATGGAGAATGCTCAGCACAGCTACTAGCTCCTTTTAGGTATTTAAAAATAACAAATAACACTGTATTAACAAGAACTTGATCCATAGAAAAATACGCAAGACGTTTGGGCCTTGCTCTTCTTTCTAGCCTTATTGAAAAGTAACCAAGTGAAGAAAGTTACCATATGGAATGGTCTTGCCTGAGTTAGATTTTTATGGGTACGTTACAGAATTTCTTTGTATTAACTCTTTGTGTGAGGCAGTTATTTAGACACTTCTCAAATCTGTTTAAGTTAAGACACTTTTCAAATCTGTTTAATATTTGGATCTTTTTTCTGAGAGAATTAATATGTTCCTTGATTATTGTGCTTTAAAATGTTACTATGCCCATTTCATATTAAAATAAGCTTAGTTTTCTGTCTTGATGGACAAACCAACTGAAAGAAAGTTAATCTGACTTACTTGTAATGTTCCTAAATGTTGAAGGTATTGACAGCATAAATAATAACTAAATTCCCCACTTTTGTCATATTATGTGGTAATGATTTTATTTGGTGGTAAAAACAATGGAAACAACCTCCTCAGTCGTTTTCATTCTGAAAGAGTAGGTAATCAACAGGGCCGGGCAGAGTAGATGTCACAGGAGAGCTTGTCCCCTGACCTCCTCCTGTGTTTTAGTTGTGTCTTAATCAAATAATTGCATTCTTTAGAGTGTGTGTGGGGGGGGGGGGGGGGGGGGCTTATTGTTAACTTATTTTTAATGAAGACATTGACATATCAAAATGTGATGTCTTTTTACTTATCACTTAAAATGATTGAAATAATTGAAAATACTAACAGAAGGACATCAAGATTATAGTTCTCTTTACATAGATAGCCACATATCTCATTTATCAGCCTTTCTGTTTTCAGTATTTGCTGGCCGTTGGTTAATGTCATTTTGGACGGGGACTGCCAAAATTCATGAGCTCTACACAGCTGCTTGTGGTCTCTATGTTTGCTGGCTAACCATAAGGGCAGTGACGGTGCTGGTGGCCTGGATGCCACAGGGACGCAGAGTGATCTTCCAGAAGGTTAAAGAGTGGTCCCTCATGGTAGGTTTTTCTCCTACAGAACTGATGGTGTATGATAGGAGTAGTGGATACATTTTTTAGTCATTTATTTAAATATTTTCACTTTTGTTTCTTCATTATGCATATGGTGTCGAGAGTTCATTTATTTTTAATTAGAAGGGATATTCCTTTAAGACATTAGCTTTCTGATTCATTCTGAGAACCACAGTTGGATGAATTCAAGGGTCAAAAGAAAATCATATTATTACATGATCCAGTAGGGCCCTTAAGTAAGTAATGTAATTAGAAGTTATTTTGGAAATGTTAAGGTATAAGATACTCTTTAGAATTTAAAATCAGTCTAAGTAGACATTTTAAGATATTTTTTCTAAATTTTGATTTTTTGATCTATTTGAATATGTAAAAATCTTGACTTCAGGATTAAGTTTGTGTTTTTCATATAAATGGTATTCCTTTAATTACACATTTCTATTGCTGATTCAAGAATGTCTTGGCTAATGTGAAAGTGTAGTAAGTAATGGAAATTATTACTCAGTAAGTACCTAATTGCACAGCGGTGGGGGAGAATGTCAGTGTAAGATGACCATCCATGTGTGATGATTTATTGATTGATTGTGATGTTGGCTATGCTTGCTAAATAGGTTTAGGTCACTGCTTATGCCTCTTCATTTGTATAATCCTAGTTTTGTATCTGAATCTAGATTTTAATTTCACTAAAAGGTTAATATTAGTGTTGAAAGAAAAACTTGAGATTTATTATATATTATGAACGGAGGGGCTTAATTGCTGTTTAATTTCACAAGATAATGAGACGCTTAAATATATTTAAAATACGGAAACCAGCTAATAACCAGTTTTCATTTGGTAATTTTCTATTTCTGTTTTCTATTATCAATATGCCATTTAAAAAAGCAAGTACTGCATTTTATATGACCCACGTCATGTTAGTCTCTTGTTGAAACAAATGTACTCACCGAGGCTACGTTAAGAGAAAGGGAGGTCATCCGACATCAGGGCCACTTTAAGCACTCATTTCTTTGTCAGGATTCTGTAGTGGTGCTTTCATAGTCTCTATTGTTTTCTCTGTGTTGACTTTATTTTCATTTTTTTGTTGCTTTGTCCAAATTCTAGAGCTGTGCTAACAGAGTAGCCATGTAGCTAATGGCTACTGTATTGGCAACACAGATAGAGGACATTTTGGTTATCATAGTTCTGTTGGGCCACAGAGGATTCTAGAGGGAGCCAGTTTGATCAACGGGTTTAATTACCTTCACTGGGGTTTCTACAGAGCCCTTCTCCTGTACCCGTCCACCTCCGGGGTTACAGGTCAGCCTGTGAGTTGGCTTCATTGGATTAGGAGCCTGGGATAATCAGTAGCTTTTCTTGGACAAATGAAAGCCTACTTCTGAGAATGAGTTTGAGAAAAACAGCACAGCCACCTGGTTAATATATGTAATAATGACTTCTGTAATTTATAAGCAGAAATGCATAATAATTTCATGCTTTTATTATAGCTTGAGCTTGATATACATATTCATTTAATGATATAATATGTATGTGAGGTGTTTAGGTAATGTATTTGTTCTGTTAGGCATCAGGTTAAAAAAGAAAAATAAAGTTCCAAGTGGAATAGAGTTTAGCTAAAAGCCAGAAAGACTCTCTAGTGACATGGCCTCATTTGCTGGCAGATCATGAAGACTTTGATAGTCGCTGTGCTGCTGGCTGGGGTTGTCCCGCTCCTGCTGGGGCTCCTGTTTGAGCTGGTTATTGTCGCTCCCCTGCGGGTTCCCTTGGATCAGACTCCTCTTTTTTACCCATGGCAGGTAAGTGCATGACTTCTGCTCATGGTATTTCTTTATGGATTTGGAATCAGAAAAATTTGTGATTTTTTTTTTTTTAAAGTGATTTTAAGTAGTTTGTTTAGAAAGACTAATTTTTTCTATTCTGGGAACCCTTATAAAATTGATTAAATAGTACATTTTAATTAATTGCTTTCAAAATATACAGGTCATTTAACTCCTTTAAAAGGTCTTTATAGCTTAAAATGTCACTATTTGGGCTTCACCTGATCTTTAAAGGTACAGACTAACACGTGTTGGTTTTTTCACTTATTAGCTAAGATGAGATACCTTGCTTCTTCTAGGTTTGAGGCTTTAAGCAGTAACTTACATTTTTGAATACTCACAGCATGTTTTCTCACAAAGTCACAGGTTTATTAAAAAGAGCATTCTGAGGGAACCTATGTAGATCACAGCAAAGGTCTTAAAGCTATCGGGGAAGAAAAATACTACTTTTCTATAGTATTTAGAGCCTGAAATTAGCATCCTAGACTTCAAGTTCTTAAGAGATCATAAGGGAAGAGCTAGGCATTGATTCAGTCATTCATAGGCTTTTCAGCCTTGTTTCTATTTCCTCTTAGTGTATGAGAGTAGATTTAAATTTTTTTTTTTTTTCAACGTTTATTTATTTTTGGGACAGAGAGAGACAGAGCATGAACGGGGGAGGAGCAGAGAGAAAGGGAGACACAGAATCAGAAACAGGCTCCAGGCTCCGAGCCATCAGCCCAGAGCCCGATGCGGGGCTCGAACTCACGGGCCGCGAGATCGTGACCTGGCTGAAGTCGGACGCTTAACCGACTGCGCCACCCAGGCGCCCCGAGAGTAGATTTACTGGAAATGAAAATTATGCAGGATGTATTTCCCTTCCTCTACTTTCCAGATGGAGAGACTCCACAAACTTTACTTAACAGCAGATAACTTACTTTTGTGCTCTAATGTGTGCTAAAACCCTGTATTATATAACTCAGATGGAAATGAGTCCAATGCAGGAACTTCTTGTGGACCTTATGGGCCGATCGGCGAGACAGGTGCCAGGTGGGCCGCACTGTGATTGGGGCAGTACAGGCTGCTGTGGCCTCATGTAGGAGGTGTTTATCCTGGCTTTAGGAGTTACGTATGATTTTCTGTACGAGACAAGGTCTAGGACAACCTAGAAGAGAGTACAAAGGAGTGGCCAAGAAAGGAAGAAGTGTATTCAAGGAAAGAGGGATTGGGCAGACCACGTGGTGAAACAGAGCATATGTGTGGAGCTGTCTATAATCCTGTGTGCTCTAGATTAGACTTGGAGAAGTGGGGAACAAAGGGAAAGTTAAGCACATGTGACGTCTTTCTGTAAGGTCTGTACTGCAGGGTAGTCAGATGGCATCAGTGACTGAAGGAAAGCTCTTTTTTTTATGGAGTAATACCAGCTAATAAAGGTAGAGGAAGTAACAATTAGAAAAATCACTGTTTTGCAATAGTTCACAAAACAGGTGATTTCAGCAAAGACTGTTAGTGGATGCTGAACCCGTCAGGTGAAAGTTGATGGGTCTTCAGTTACTACCGCTACATAGCAAGTTATGTCACAACGGTGTGGCTTAAAACAGCCATTTATTTTGTCTACACAGTCTGTGGGTCAGAAATTAAGACAGGGCACATTGGCTGGTCTCTGCTCCATGTTGTGTGGGGCCTCGGCTGGGAAGACAGTAGCTGAGTGTGATTTGACAGCAGCAGCCGGAACCCTTTGGAAGGGTCATCACTCACATGTGGGGGTTGGTGCCGGTTGTTGGTTTTACCCCAACTGGGCTGTCGGCTGGAGCTCCTGGATGTACCTGGGCTTCCTCACAGCCGGGTAGCCTCCAGGAAGTGGGGCCTGTTACTTTGTACTTGAGAGAAACAAGTGTCCCAACAGACAGGGTAGGAGCTGCTCATCTCGGAATTCCCACGGTATTGATTTTCACTCCGTTGTAGTGGATCCAGGCAAGACGCAGAGGTGGGCCCAGGTTCATGGGAAGGCAGTGTAGACCCCTAGCACCTAGGAAGAAGAATTTGCAGGCATGTTTCAACACCACTACGATGCGGAAGTAGTTATTTAAATGGTGGCCAAGTGTCATCTTGCACATTACTTGATATCCCAAAGGAAAATACACAGCTTTACTGTGGAAGGGTCAGTCAGACGCTGCCTTAACGCAATGATCACTGCAGATGCCACAAACGGGTACGATTTCAGTGGGCGGCACTGAAACAGAGCAGATTGCCCCTGACATGCAGGTGCTGGCCTGGCATCGGCTGGGCCTTGCTGTTCTCCTCCCGGCAGAAACAGTTTCACAGAACATCAGCATCACACAAGACCACTTTGTGACCGTGACGGGTCAAGACAAAAACAAGACCCTTTCAAAACCATGTCTGAACATGGGCAGAGCATGAGCATTGTCCAAACCACAAAAATGAGAAAACATCCCCCGTTCCCAGCTAACGTCATTAGCCGCTGCTGCATTACTAACTACAGTTTTAGCCTCAGTTGGTCCCTGCTTCTGGGCAAGATATATTAAGATACCCAGGATAGATCACCTCTGCTTTCTAAGAGTATCCGACACGGAGCAAAGCCCTGTGCCCTTCCGTCCCCCATATCACTTCACACAAACCGAAATCCTACAGTCAGCTCTTCCAGCACTCTCACCGAGCGCCCCACGCTCCCCAGACGGTGTGCTCTTCCTTCCTCACGGCAGCGAGCAGTAAATGCAGCTTGCGTGGTTACACGTGTGTCCCTGTGGTGTTGACGGCACCCAGCATCGTCCTTCTGCAGAATGACTGGAAACGCTCCGGTTTTGGGAATATTGATGTATTATGACCCAGTGGTTTCACTTTTCGGAATCCGCGGCAAGGGAACATTGACATGCGCGGGAGGCACAGACCGGGCTGTCTCCACCATGTCATTGTTTCTAATGCCAACATCGTAAGCAGCCTGCATGTCCATCAGCAGAGAATGCCTAAAGAAAATGTGATATATTTTTGCTTTGGCACTTGATGTAGCCGTTAAAAAGAGGGAAGTAGAGTTGTGTGTTTTGTTAGAGCGAGTTGTCAGTCATGTTTGTAAGTAGGAGAAAAATACAAGTTGTAGATGGCTATGCATAGCATGGTGTCCTTAAAATTCTGGATAAGAACAGCTTGCTTTTTCTCTGTAGCTGACTCTAAGCTGCTTGCCTTTCCCGTGTTAAGTGGCTGCAGATTTATGGGAGACTGGGCCCTTGGAGTTCTGGCAGAGGGACCCGTGTGTGTGTGTCCTGTCCTGGGGGAAAAGACTGGCTATCAGTGGCTCTTGAAAGAGCTTGAACCTCAGCAATCTGTGGACCTCCTCAGGTGAAAATGAACTTCACCTGGGTGTCTTCTAGACTCCAAAGGCCAAGAGAAAGCTGAATTTGCAAGTCAAATCTCCCCTGCCTGGGGACCTGGGACAGCACAGGAATGAAGCAAGGAGTCTTCACCATGTTCTGAGTAGGGGACTAGGGGCTTGCTATCCGAACGTCTAAAAGGCTAAAACGTCCTTTTGTAACCTTTAGGATATTCTTAGTCTGACCTGAGCCTCATTGAACCTGCAGAGAAAAATAACAAATGCTTGATCTAAGGGGGTGCACAGCAACCACAGAAAGAAAGGTCTGGCAGAGCGATGAGAACACGTGCCCAATGACATGCCTGCCAAACCCTGAGCATCCAAATAGAAGAATAAAAACACAGGTGATCAAGGGCAGTATGTGTGTAGATGCACACACAGTGGCAGTAAAACAAAGTGAAACTGTGGTGCTACATAGCACGGATCTCAGACATTCAGCAGGTGAATTGAAGACGTGGGTCGTCACCATTGAGGTTCACACTGTGTTTCTGGAAGACGACTGCAGAGCACAGAGCTAAACTGAACAAGTAGGAAGTTGAGGGTAAAGGTAAGGGCCTTGGAGAGTACATCCAGGGAAACTAACATCCCCTAATAAGGGCTCCAGAGTGCAGAAATGAGCGGTGTATAATGAAATAGAAAAACTTAACTGAATTGAAGAAAGTACTGATTCTGTAGGTTAAAAGAGCTCATCAGGTTTGGTGAAATGGACATTGATGAGAAAAATTGGGGGCATATCTTGGTAAGATAGTTCTGAGTCCTAAAGGTAAAGAGAAATCATAAACCTCGAAATAGAAAATCATATTGGTAATAGACTTTTTTCTGTAACACACAAAACCATACGGCAGAAGAGCATTTATAGACAATTGCAATAAAAGGTACAAAAACCAGGCCTCCTGTACCGAGGCAGAATGTCATTCAGCCATTTGTCTGTCAGGGTGAAGAGCCATATTTGAGATAGCAAGAATTCAGTGCATACATCAGCCTTTCACCTCATTTGAAGAAGGTGCTCAGAATACAAACTAAGCAGAGCAGTAAATCACATCAGCCTGAAGATGGTAGACAGTGAAGAGGTCTGACAAACAGTATGAGCAAAGTTCATATAAAAATGATGCTGCATCATTTCTATGGGACGTAGATACATAGATACAAGTAAATGCACAGGGGAAAAAACGTGGAGGGTACGTTAACAGTGGTCATTGCTGGGGAGCGATCAGGTTTTGGGCTGGTAGTCACAGAGGACTCCAGCCTTCTCTGCAAAGGTTTTGATTTTATGTAAGAGTACATCTAAATGTTAATGTGTTACTTTTTAAAAAACACATTAAAAAAACAAACCCAGAGACTGGGTTATGAAGGACTTTGTGTGCCGTGCTCAGGAGGACTTCCGAGTTGTAAGCAGGAGACTGTCCTTATGTGATCTGACTTGTGATGGGGGTGGTGATATTTCTGGCGGCCTGGTGGAGAGCTGGCATGGGCGGTAGAGGCTCTAATAACAGTTCAGCAGTACTAGAGCTGGAAACTCTCTGAGCCTTCGGGGTGGTTTCTTCAGGCCAAACATGGCTCCACAGGCTTGTTTTGATGTAGTGTTAGCTCAGCTGAAGGCAACACAGCAGCTTAAGACGGTTGATGAAATAAAATCATGGCACTGTTTCACTTGCTTTTGAGATCCCCATTAATGTTGACACGTTTCCTCATTCTCCTGGGGAAATAATGTAGGTTTCTAAAAGATAATAGAATGAGTTTCATTAGAAAGACTGAACTTGAGCTCTTAGGGGGAAATTTCCCTGGATTTTTCTAGTGTATGTTCATCTTCTGTAAAATTGTTACTAATCCTGTAGGACTTCTGTTTTGAAATGAAATATTCAAGAAAATGTACAGCCTGTCTGCTGGGTTTATTGCTGAAAACAAACACCTTTTAAATGGTTTTTATTTCCTAGGACTGGGCACTTGGAGTCCTTCATGCCAAAATCATCGCAGCTATAACCCTGATGGGCCCTCAGTGGTGGTTAAAGACAGTAATTGAGCAGGTGAGCAGAGTTCGCTTTCAGGAGAGACTAGGTGGGGCAGGGGTGGTGCTTGGCTGCTGGGGTGCTTAAGTTTCATTTTCCATCTTTGAGTTTTCTGCATTTTCTCTAATAAGTATATGTAACTTTTTTTTTTTCTAAGAAGACAGTTTGCTGTTTTATCACCATGAATTTTCATCAACCAGTCTTAAGACTTTCTCCTTTTTTTAAAAAATGTTTTTGTATTTATTTTGAAGGAGAGAGATAGAGCACACATACACGCCAGTGCGTGGGAAGGGCAGAGAGAGGGGAGAGAGAGAGTCTCAAGCAGGTTCTGTACTGTCAGCCCCATGCAGAACTCGATCTCACAAACTGAGATCATGACCTGAGCCAAAATCAAGAGTTGGACACTTAACCAACTGAGCCACCCAGCATCCCAAGATTTCCCTTATCTGAAGTTTAACCAGTGGCTTACAGTACCTAAAGCTCCGAAGTAAAGGCAAAAATTAGTACATGTGGTTTGTTTCAGGGAAGTTCTGATGTACGCTTGGTACTCAGTTTTCTAAATCTGTAGTCGAATAAAGAGGTTACTGTTCGGGGCGCCTGGGTGGCGCAGTCGGTTAAGCGGCCGACTTCAGCCAGGTCACGATCTCGCGGTCCGTGAGTTCGAGCCCCGTGTCAGGCTCTGGGCTGATGGCTCAGAGCCTGGAGCCTGTTTCCGATTCTGTGTCTCCCTCTCTCTCTGCCCCTCCCCCGTTCATGCTCTGTCTCTCTCTGTCCCAAAAATAAATAAATGTTGAAAAAAAAAAAAAAATAGGTTACTGTTCAAGATAGTAAATCAAAGGCAGGGGAAAAAATAAAAAGTAAAGCTGATACTGTATACTTGAAACTAATATAACACTATATGTTAACTAACTGGAATTAAAATACAAACGTTGGGGCGCCTGGGTGGCTCAGTTGATGACGCATCTTTCAGCTCAGGTCATGACCTCACAGTTCGTGGGGTCGAGCCTTACATGGGGCTCTGTGCTGACAGCTCAGAGCCTGCTTGGGATTCTCTGTCTCTCCGTTTCTTCCTGCCCTTCCCCCGCTTGCACATGCCCCTGTGCACTGTTGGGCTCACTCTCTCTCCCCCCCCAATATAAATAAACTTAAAAAAAAAAAAAGACTTAAAAAACATATCCCAGAGCCTTAAAAAATAATTAAAATACAAAATAAAAACAATCTTAATGAAAAAAAAAGCAGAACTGTTAGGGAATATTTTACTACATAGCATGTAGGTTATTATTATCGTATTATGGAACTGTCCGATAACTTGATCATTATGGTGATAACCTTGAAAAAAATACATTGTGCCTCTGTACTCTGGTATTAAGGCTGGGAAGTATGAGAATTCGCTTTAGGAAGATTTCTATCTAAAATAGCCAACATAACAGATTTTGGTACTTATTTCTTTAAATTTTAGTTGACTAGAAAACGTACTTGTGGACAATCCTCTTATCCTTAGGTCAGCGTCAAATAGATTCGGCGTTCTGTTGCAGGAAACAGATGTATAGGAGATAAAGACAGTAGTTCCCAGCTCAGTATGCACAAGAAAATTGTCAGAAAAATCCTGGCCCCGGAGATTTGTGGGGGTAGGAGCGCCAGGAAGTGGCCGTGTGTTTGCATCCACTTTGGAGTCTCCAGGTGTGACTCTGGCCCTTGCCAAGAAATGTGGAGAAGAGGGTTTCGTCGCAGTTGGACATTGTGAAACATTGTTGATCTTTGTAATATTTTGCTCTCTGAGACGTTCCTTTTTCATACTGTGTGTGTAAGTTTGAACAAAATGGTTGAGAAACACTGGGATGTCTTGTTGCATCAGTTTAGATTCATCCGGGATTGGTTGCCTTTGGAGGGTTGAGCCTGTTGTCAAGCATGTCCGTGCGCTGTGGCCCTTGGTTGAAGTGTGCTTCAATACTGTGTGCTGCGGGCCAGGAGAAGGCGGGGTGCTGGGGAGAAAGCAAGAACAGAGGTCTTCAGTTCTGTCCCCCTCTGCTCACCATCTTTATTTTCCGTTATTCCCAAGGTTTTCCCACTTCTATTCATCCTTTCCTCTGAAGTGCTATTCATTAGAACTTTCTGGATAAGATAATGAAAATACTGGAGAAATTCTTGACATAAAAAAAAAAAAAAATTCACCATAGAATTCTTTCATACTAAATTTTCACATAAAATATCTTCGGTTAAAATTTGATTTATACAAGCTTATCAGAAACATGTTCCCTGCTTATAATGTTTTCTTTCATATTCAGATAAAACGAACGTAATCTTGATTAATAACACAGATCATTCTTACACACATATGTGAGTAGTTGTTTGGGGTTATGATGTGGTCTTCACCTCATATTATTGGGTGTATCCAGTATTGTATAGTGCAGGGCTAGTATAGTTAGGATTCTAGACTAGTGTTTTATTGTTTCATCCCTTTGCAGAGTTAACCTCAATGTGTAAGGAAATAAATGCATTTCTGTAACGACTTGTGGGCACCGTACTTAACATTTGTGTTCAGAATTTGTCTTGACTTCGGAAAAAATCGCCAATGGATTCAACTCCCTGTGGCTTGGATTCAGTAGAGATTGCTCTGTCAACTTGGGGGAATTTGTCTTGTCTCCCTTTTTCTAATTTTCTCCTTCACGTTTCAGGTTTATGCAAATGGCATCCGGAACATCGACCTTCACTATATCATTCGTAAACTGGCAGCACCAGTGATCTCTGTGCTCTTGCTTTCCCTGTGCGTACCTTACGTCATCGCGTCTGGCGTCGTTCCTTTACTAGGTGGGTAATGCTGGCCAGGGAGCTGGAGACGGCACCTGTTAACATCACTACTTTCTCGGCACTTGCAGTGCCATAGGCTGTCTGGCTCCAGATGATTAATTTGTGAATATAAATCCAGCTAAAACAGTGATTTCGCAAGACTCTTTTTCTTCGATTTGACTACTTAGGGCAAGATTTGGGGAATCATAAACTTCCTTTATACAGTTTTTTCTCTAGGCAAGTGAGGAAGTATTGACATTTACACTGTCCTCAAAATAGGTACAGCTTTCCTTCAGGTTGTCTTCTCCTGACTAGAAGTGCTGTGATCCCATACTTGTAAAATCAAGGTGAAGTGTTGTTATATTAGTAACTAGATATTATTTTTTTAAGTTTATTTTGAGAGAGAGAGAGAGAGAGGGAGAGCACGCACATGCACACTAGCAAGGGAGGGGCAAAGAGAGAGAGAGAGGATCCCAAGCAGGCTGTGCACTGTCAGCACAGAGCCCAGCGCAGGGCTTGAACCCATGAACTGTGAGGTCATAACCTCAGCTGAAGTCAAGAGTCGGATGCTTAACCAACAGAGCCACCCAGACGCCCCACAGCTAGATATTAGCTTGTCAATAACATGCTCACAGGTCCTCACAGGACCTTAAACCCAGCATATTTTCAAAATTAGAAGCACAAAGTTTCCCCTCCAAATCTTTTTTTTCTACTGAATTCCGTCTCTTAGTGCTTAGTGTTACCATCCAGAATTTGCATGGGTCAGAAACCTTGTAGGTCATCTGTGTCACCTTCCTACTCACATGGTCCCCAAGTCCCGCTGCCCCAGCCTCCAGAAGCCATTCTCTAACCAGGCACCTTTCCCTGTGGCTCTTACCTTAACCTCAGTGGCCTCCTGTCTGGTTTCCCTAATCTGAAGCCACCGCCACTAATTCACTCTCCACACTGTGGCCACAATGACCTTTCAGAAGAATAAGTCTCATTGTTCCTGTCTGGTGAACATCCTCTTGATGGTTCCAGCATGGCCTTTATTTTTTTTATTTATTTATTTTTTTAAATTTTTTTTAACGTTTATTTATTTTTGAGACAGAGAGAGACAGAGCATGAACGGGGGAGGGTCAGAGAGAGAGGGAGACACAGAATCTGAAACAGGGTCCAGGCTCTGAGCGGTCAGCACAGCTTGACGCGGGGCTCAAGCTCACGGACCGCGAGATCATGACCTGAGCCGAAGTCGGCCGCTTAACCGACTGAGCCACCCAGGCGCCCCAGCATGGCCTTTATTTAAAGCATTTCACGTGGCAAGCGTCAGCTTCAGTTAAGCACCTCCCAGCCCTGCCTCCCGGGGGAAGGACATATTTTTATTTCACGGTCATTCCATATACACTTAGTTTGCCCTTTCTTTGTTTTACAGGTGTTACTGCAGAAATGCAAAACTTGGTCCATCGGCGAATTTACCCGTTTTTACTGATGGTTGTGGTATTGATGGGGATCTTGTCCTTCCAGGTCCGCCAGTTTAAGCGCCTTTATGAACATATTAAAAATGACAAGTAAGTCTAGATTTCCGTTTATCTGTTTTTAAGATGTCTCTCTTAATTTTTGTTTCTAATGTGATAAGTCATAGTTGAGAAGGGTGCTCAGATTCTGGATACGTTTTGAGGTAGAATTAAGGGTTTGCTAACAGATTGGATGGAAGATGTAAAAGACAGTGTTATCAAGGATTCCACTGGGGATAGGGAGCTGTCACTTTTGGAGCTGAACAAGACTGGGAGAAGCAAGTAAAGGGGGGAAGGCTTTAATGCCCATTCTAAATAGTTTTTAGTCTGTTTCCTAACGTTTTGGTCTGACAGTACATTAAATAGTTTTAGGTAAAAATAAGCCTGTATGAGGACTTGGCCCACCTAAGCTCTACCTGCAACCAGGGGCCACTGGGTCACTCTGACCATTGCCAAGAGAGGCTGTAAGGTTCCTACAGAAGTACTGTAGGGCCTCTGTTTGAGGGAAACTGTGACCTCTGCTCCGTGAGAGATTGAGGACAGCCAAGGAAAACACGTTCTGGGGATAACAGCCGTCTGACCTTCCATGTCCTAACAAAGCCAAATGGTGGCTGGCAGAGAGAGTGAGTTTATAATATAAGTCCATCCTGGTTTGCCAGGAAGAGTCCCAGTTTACACGTGTTGTCTTGTTTCATTGTTAACAACACTCTCATTTAGACATGAGATACCTCCTCACACCTGTTGAAGTGGCTACAATTAACAACTCAGGAAACAAACAGGTGTTGGCAAGGATGTGGATAAGGGGGAACACTTTTGCACTGTTGTTGGTGGGAATGCAAACTGGTGCAGCCACTCTGGAAAACAGTGTGGCGGTTCCTCCAAAAATTAAAAATAGAACTACCCTACAACCTAGCAGTTGCACTAGTAGGTATTTATCCAAAGGATACAGAAATGCTGATTCAGAGAGGCGCATGCACCCCAATGTTTATAGCAGCACCAAATTATGGAGAGAGCCCGGATGTCCATCGATTGATGAATGGGTAAAGAGAGTGTGTGTGTGTGTGTGTGTGTGTCTGTCTGTCTGTCTATACAGACATACATATACACAGTGGAATATTAGCCATCAAAAAGAAAGTCTTGCCATTTGCAATGACACATAGAGTGTATTCTGCAAAGCAAAATAAGTCAGGCAGAGAAAGACAATTATCCTATGATTTCACTCATATATGGAATTTAAGAAACCAAACAGACGAACATAGGGGAAGGGAAGGAAAAATAAGATAAAAACAGGGATGGAGACAAAACATAAGAGACTCTTAAATACAGAGAACAAACTGACGGTTGCGGGAGGGGAGGTGTGGGATGAGTCAATGGGTGATGGGCGTGAAGGAGGGTGCTTGTTGTGATGGGCACTGAGTGTTATATGTAAGTGATGACTCACTGGGCTCTAGTCTGGAAACCAGTAGTACTACGTTGTATGTTAACTCACTTGAATTTAAGTGAATAAAAAAAAAAAAGATGAAATTTAGGGTGTTCAAGGCTTTTCCAAAGCATTCACTGACAAAAAACCCAAGTATACTTGAGCAGTCTGTAAAGTTCTGTCTACCGGGAAAGAACAGAGAGGGGATTTCAGTGGTGAATGTCCCATTTTTCTCACTTCAGTCGTTTAGGCTGACGAGTACATTCTGCAGACAGTGCAGACGAGACATGGCCTCGGCTTTTTGCTGCTTTCTTCCTCACCCTTGTCCCCCACCCTGCTCGTCTGCCCCAGCGGTCTCTCCTGCCTACCTTGGAGCGTGTCTTACTCATTATTTTCTGCTCTCTTGCTGCAGCCCAGTGTACGCTCTTCTCCCATGTTCGTTCTTCGCATAGCAAACTGTGAAGGGCAGGCTCCCTTGAGGCCGCACCTCGGGTGCCGTGGTTTCCGCCGGTCCAGCAGCGTCGGAAAGGGAGCAGGCTCTGCCCGTGGGGTGTGCGGGGCGGGCTGTGGGCACGAGAGGGTGCTCGGTCATTAGGGAGAGTGGGCGGTGGGCTCAGAGTCTCCTTCCTCTGCACTGAGTTCCTTTTTGGTCCTGGGCAAATGAATTAAAATCACTGTTGTCTCTGCTTTTATTGCTTTTTCATTGCCATAACGTCAACCCCGTTTTTGGCATAACTTGGTGTATCTTGTGATTATGGGTGTGTCAGGCAGTGCCTGACATTAGCATCAGGATACATTAGCATCCAGTTGTCATTGTTTAAAACATTGATAAGCCGTCACAGTTAAAAATACACTGGTGGGGGAACTAACTGTGAGGGAAAGGAGTAGTTAACATCAGGAAAAGGATTGGTGAGAGAGAAAGAACGAGGATTATACCGTGGGATCATGGATGAAGAAGCAGTAGGGTTAGTGAAATGCTTTAAAAAGTGACGTGAAACTACTCGGCAGAAACTGCCACAATTTCGCATGAGGCTGGTGTGTGTTAGTGGAAAAGTGGCGAAAGTCAAAGAAGCAAAAGTAACGGTGAAAAGTGAAAGTCACTACACTGAGTCCAGCACATGCCAGGCCTTTGTTGCCGTGGCTTTTGTGTGCTTCTTATTTCTTACAGCAGTCACGGGGCACAGTACTGCTGTCCTCGTTTTATTGGCGAGTAAGTAAATTGGGTCTCAGAGACCCAGCTCCCGGGCCAGCCTGTCGCGTGCCGGCTTTGCTGTCCCGTGCTCGCACAGGTGGCTGAGGACCGAGTGGCCACTCGTGGGTCTGCAGCGCTGACTTCACATGGGCACCGTGTACCCCAGCCTCCTGCCGCTCATGGCCACAGTCGGCTCTCATCCACTGTCCTCCGAGGCTCAGCCTGCAGCCCGGGCACCAGGGTCAGGAGGCCCCCCTGCTTCTCCACAACCGCTGCTGTTGTCCTGGGGATGTGGTGTCTGGTCACGCCAGCCGTGGTCACTTCTGTGTCTGGTGCTGTAGCCCTGCACCCTTTGCCCTGACCTCCGTATCATCGCGGCACGTGACTTAGGGACGTGTAACGTGACCTCCTTCCTTCTGTCCCTTGCACATGCTCACTTCTCTGCCTTCTCCCCTCTGACCTCATTGAGACTCTTGCCCTTGGGTTTCTCCTTTTCTCTAGAACTAGAGCTATTCTGATCCACTTTCCTCTCTACCTAGCTTTCTGTTTCTTCAGATCTGTCTTCTGAGCTGTTTTAGAAAATATTCCTAACAGATAAATGCCCTGAGTCAGTTGACTGTGTCTTACCCCCCTGGTGTCTGCGTGTGCACGAGAGCCCCAGCCTTCGGGCCAGAGGACACACGCCATTGCCTGGGATCCGAGGCCTTCCGACGTTTGCTGCTCTCGCCTCGCCGTGAGCTGCCTGCTTATGTGCCTGTTGCCAGTGTTCATTCTACGCTCCCCTTCAGACCATTGAAGGGTTTGAAGTGGGAGTGATCTGATTTGCATTCAAAAAATGTATCACTGGGTGCTCTTAGGAAGAATATTTTAATATGTGGGATCATATAAGAGAGTAACCACCCTGTTTTTACAACCTAGATACCTTGTGGGCCAACGCCTCGTGAATTACGAACGGAAATCTGGCAAACAAGGCACATCTCCACCACCTGCACAGTCGTCCCAAGAATAAAGTGGTTGTCTCAACTACCTTGACCTTCCCCTTGCCTTTACGTGTCCTTTTTTGTGGACTTCTCTCTGGGAGATTTTTCCCAGTGATCTCTCAGCATTGTTTTTAAGTTAACTGTATTTGACTTGTGTTCTCAGCATTCGGAGAAGCAGCGTGCAGGGCCCTGCCGCCCTTCCTGCATCTTCCACCATCGTTGCTGTCTGAGGTCTGTACATGTGTAAATAGAAGTTCCTGGATACCCTAAAACCGTGGATTAAACAGAATGTGCATTGTACATCTTTAAACAAAATGTATATTAATTTATTAAATCTAGTTGTCACTTTATTTTGGACCTGCTGTGATCTTGACAGGAAATGTGCCACAGAGCCATAGTGCAGAGGCAAAACTTTTTCACGACGTCCTTTGGAGCGCGGTATCCCGGTGTTCCTAGCAGTTCTTATTAAGTAAACTGTGCATTCTGTCTTTCTTGGCTGTTCAGACCTTACCAAGAACTTGAAAGGAAACAAGTAGAAATCAGCAGTGGAGTGTCTGTGGTAAGAGAACATGGACTTTGTGCTTCACTGTCGATCGTTTTTGGAAGTTATTTTGTATAACACCAAAGCTGTTGTACATTTTCTACTGCCTGATTTTTTTTCATGCGTCTGTGTTTATAATATTGTATAGTATCTTGTGCTAGGTGAGGAAATTATTTTTAATTTTGATAATTTAATATTCCTAGTGATCAGCATTAGGGGTTGGGCTTTTGTGCTTGTTCGGGGCATGTCTATACTTAGAGAAAAAAAAAAGTCCACAAGAACGTTTTCCTTAGTTCTCTCCAGCCCCCCTTTTCCACACACAGCTGTCGTTTTTTTTTCTCTTTGGCAGCAGTAGCCAAAAGTCATGCCGGATCGCAAGTCTTCTAGAATACTGCCAACAACAGTACCGCATCATACTGGAATTAGGACACACTGAGGTGTTAGCTAAATGCACACGTCGTTTGTGGTCTTAGATCGGCAGCACCAGGGAAGGCAGCCTAGAACACCTGGTCCTGCTGTTTGGGGCACCCCGTTGGGTCAGGATTAGGGAGTCCGTTTCTCCGATTTTCCATGAGTAAATCCCAAAGTTTCCAGAGCTTTTTGTTTACAGAAGAAAACTACAAACGAAACCAGTTTGATTTTACTCGTCCTGAAGGAAGCTGGCTCGAGCTGGCCTTTTTAACATAGGAGTGAAGAAGGTGTTTCATTGGAAATGTGCTGTAAAATCTCAGAATACTGAACACTTACAGATCTGGTTTTCCCTGAGAACCAAAGCTTCGAGAATGAAGTATTTAGAGCAATACAACAGTTGGGCACACGATCCCAGTATTTAATGGTAATGGTATATTGTAAGGGTGGTGTTTGTGTTTTGAATGTCGTCAGAGAAAATGGGCAGCAGAGGTCTCCAGGAACTCTTAAAGAGTTTCCATATAGTATTAAAGTCTGTACACTTAAATCTGGAGATTCTTTAAAGATGAAAGTCAGCCAAACGTAAGCTACCACAAAAGCAGACATAGTCTGGTTGTTTTACATTTCAACAGTTTTTGCTGAGGGGGTAATTACTTTACCTTAAAATACAGCGTAAAACATCAGTATCAAAAAAAAAAAAAGCTTGACATGGGGTTCAGTGTGAACACCCTCCGGCACTTTGTAGCAGTCCTTTCCCTTGTATTTGAAATAAGGTCTTTGCTAGCCCTGCATTTATGTGGAAATGGAATCCTACTTTAAAAAATTAGGAGCATTTTAAAATGTACTGCCACCTATCGTGGTATGTGTCTATATAAATTGTTCTCTTTGGGAGAAAAATATTATCAATTGGGCATAGAACTTGATTATATTAATTTAGCTTTCTTTTTAAAATTTTCAGAGAATTTATAGATCTTGATATAAAGTCATTGAACACATTTATCCATTTTATCAGAAAGAGAGCTAGGCAGATACCACAAAAAATTAAAAATTGTTATTCTACAAAATTTTAAATGAATCTTATCAGATATTTTGTAAAAAAAAAAAAAAACTGAAAAGAAAAACATACATATATATGAACATACACAAATGGTGAGAATCTTGCCCTCCATTTCACCGGCAGATACTTTATCTTGTTGTATCTAAGGATTTCCTCTTGGTTTTCAGTTGTGCTCTGTCCTGTTTTTAATAAGATGAAAACTTTCATAAGGAAAGCGTTTGCTGACATAACATTTACATGGGCAGCACCAGAATTTTATTATTAATCAATAGTCTCATGAACATTTGAAACCTCTGGTTCAGAAAGTTCCAGTATTGCTGCCCTTCATGTAGAATTAAAAAAAAAAAAAAGTGTAGTTTTGCTTCATTTTACATTGGGCTAAAACCGTCTTCAAGGAAATTAATTACAAAAGAAGACCATTTTGCTTTATTTTTAATTGTTTATAAATGGAAGACAAATCAGCATTTGGGAGTAAGTTTCACATGACCAGTTATCAAATGGTCATATTATGAGGTGTGCATTTGTCATTATTAGCAAATTATGTTTGAGTTTTAAACTGTTCAAGCTAATAGTTGAGATGAAAACAGGAAAATACCAATGTGAGGTTTATGTCTAGCTAGCCTTAAAAAAGTTCCATGTTTTTAGGTGATTTTTTCCTGTTAGTTCTCTGGAGAAACCGTGGAAATTGGACATCTCAATTCCAGATGTAAACAAAAAGTAATTTTTATTTCAACATTTAATATAGCTGTTATTACTGTGGATCCTTGTGTTTTTTCTTTCCCTTATTCAAGTAACAGAGAATAACTTTTTCTTAAATGATTTGGTCTTAGAGATGTCATTTCTGTATTGGCAAATGCTATTATTAAAGTGTAATTCTTGAATTTAGGTTGAATTCATGACTTTTTAAAATGAAGAAGCACTGGACATTTCTCCACTGTATTGTGTTTACCCCCCGCCACACACACACACACACACACACACACACACACACACACACACACACACACACACACGCACACGAGAATGTAGTGCCGGTCTAAGAACACTGGCAGTTTTGTCAACTTCGCAAGTTAGCTACTCATTCTCACTTTTCAGGACTATTTTAAGATCTCTACTTACTGTGATAAGTTTTATACTTGTAAAATTTTAAAGTGATTATGTTCAAAATACTCCTTTAGAATGTTACCTACTCGGTTGCCATCAAGAAAAGACAGAATGTCGTGCCACTAAAGTATTAACAAAAACCTTGTGTGTGGAGATTGTAACTCCCTTGGTTGGGCTGTCTTACATCTCATTTGTCCCTCGGGCACATATTTTCTCTTCACCCTGTTACTGCCCTGTGTCATTTTTTAAAAGCAGCCATCATGAGAAAGGGTTTCTTTCACGTAATCTCCAACAGTATGCTTGTTACTAATACAGTATTAAAGGTGTAAGACAGTATATACCCAATTTCATTCCCAGTGATTCTGTATGAGTGCCTCGTTTTGTGTCAGCAGAGCAATATACAATACCTTAACTGGAAATGTAATGACTGTAAGGCCTGGAACTGACTTGTAGATGGTACGTAGAGCACTTAGTTATTTAGGACGTCAATTTTCTATTGACGCGAACACCTTAGACACCCAGACCAATTTTATGTATATATATTCTAAAATGCTCCCTTTTTTATGTGGTTGGTTGTTGCCTTCTAAGTCAAGAGAACAAAGTTGAATAAAGCGAATGTTAGCTGTAGCCTAGTTTTTTTGGTTTGTTTTTGCTTTGTTGCAAAATTACTTCAGAATTACAGAAATGTGCATTATTAATCAGCATAGGTAGATAATCTAGGTTATTAAAATTTTTTTTTAATGTTTATTTTTGAGAGGGAGACCAAGTGCAAGTGGGGGCGGGACAGAGAGAGAGGAGGACACAGAATCCGAAGCAGGCTCCAGGCTCCGAGCTGTCAGCACAGAGCCTGATGGGAGGCTCAAACTCACGAACTGTGAGATCATGACCTGAGCCAAAGTCGAATGCTTAACCAGCTGAGCCACCCAGGCTCCCTAGGCATTTTTTAAATATAATAATTACATAAGAAAATTAATATATGATTATAGTTCCTCCATTCTGTTTTCAGTATAAATTTAGAAGTATAGTTGCAGAGAACACATCCCTCTCCCCTCATCCCCTGACTGTATTGCTAGACCATCTTCATGGGGAACAGTAAAGGCCCTCGTCTTGTGGGCAAACTGCCTCCCGCTTCGGCAAGATCCACATGCCAGAGCCTCAGCAGGTTTTCTCTTTAAGTGGATACTTGGAATAGAGTAAAACCAATCAAAGCCATTTTATGTAGCTGCCTGTAAATCTCAGAGAAAAAGGAAAGAATTGCATGAAGCTTTTTTCCTCCTGAGTGCCCCCATGTGAAGAGATCCTTTTGTTTCGAGGTTCAAAACTTGATGATTTCTTTTTAATCAAGTGCATTTAAGAAACACTTTTTAAATGTTTATGTATTTTGAGAGAGAGGGTGTGTGAGAGAGCGGGGGAGGGGCAGAGAGGGAGAGAGAGAATCCCAAGCAGGCTCAGCACCAGAGCCTGAGGCAGGGCTCAGTCTCATGAACCGTAAGATCATGACCTGAGCCGAAATCAAGTCAGACGCTTAAGTGACTGAGCCACCCAGGCGCCCTCCAAGTGTTGTTTTATTTATTTTAAATGCAGTGGTGGTAGGCAAAATGTTA